GTAATATTTTTAGGTTTCGACAATTTTGACATGTCAAAATAGTTTTGACAATTTTGACATGCCAAAACTCCCTAATTTCGGCAGGCAACTTTAATTATAACGATAATGTAATGACGACGATAATGAAAATTTACCATTTGATTATTGTTTATTTTTTGGTTCAAAATAAAAAAAAAAAATGTATCTATATTTAAATAAGTAATACAAACAAATTGTTTATTTACATAATATTAAAATTTGTCATCCGGTTGTTGATCATTTTTGGCTAACAAAAAAATTATTCAGTTTTGACATGATTTGCTAAAAATTTTATCCCATAATTTTTAAGCAAGAAAGATCATTCTATATAAGTGCAATATCACCCTATGGGTGGGTGGGTGGAACGTCACGTTATTGAAATGACTTGAAATGATTGACATGTCATGATAGGTTAACGTTAACTTAACGTTAACATAAGATTAGTTTTTGAGTGATTTCCATTTTAAGATGCTGATCCCCCATCTTTGGTATTGATTTGCTGATTATATAAATACATTTCAAATCAAGCTTTTCTATTTTAGTACGATCGGCAACCAACAAATCTTTTAGTGTTTTAATTAGGACAATGATTAATAAGTATATAAATGTACCTTTCTTCTGAGTAAAAAATAGTGACCTTCTCATCCTTTTCTTCCAAGAATTCGAGTGAAAAATAACTTTCGAATAAAAAAAAACTATCCTTCTTTTCCGAGTGAAAAAAAAATTAATCTAGCTATATCAGAATTACGCAAATAAATAATAATAATGAATAACGTTGAACTTCAGACTACCAAAAACGTCTTCATGGTATTAATCGCTTACCTTCATGATAAGCTCGTTAAAATAAGTGCAACACTTACCATTAAAAATAAACATCAAAATTTGATACTTACTGAACCTAAGATTTTTTCACCTGGAGAAGTAAAAAATCCACCAGACACAGTCATAAACCCAGGAGAAATTTCCGATTCAACGTAAGAATAATCTGTATGTTTTGTAATAAATAAAAGAGTTTATGTGACAATAAAATTTTTAATACACAGAGAATTCACCGCTGGTTCGGGTCAGGATTCAAGAGGAATAATATCATATAAGATAATAGGGCAAAGAGGATCAAACTCAAATCCTCTGTACCTTATAGTTACTTGGAAAGTAAGTAATTACTTAATATTCAGCTATCGAATGATGTACGTTTAAGAAATGTTTGATCATGCATTATTCACACTTGTAGGTAAAATTATCCGGGGAAAACTCAATAAATATCAATGTTCGTGAATATGAGGAATTTCCATCACTGGACAAAAGTTTACTTAAAGAATTGCACAGAGGTAGTACTGGTAGTACTTGTCCAAATAAAACCGTTAAGTATCATGATAATAGACATGATTTTATTGTCACTGGAATTATTGATAACAAGTATGCATTTTCAAGCTTAGAAATATTCCCAACCTTTATCATATAATAATAATAATTTCTCTCTTTTTAGGTCTAATGCCAAAATCAAAATTACTCTTAGTCAAAATTTTCAGAATACTGAAATAACTGAGCCTATTGAAGTGCCTGACACTTAGCTTCTATATTTTCCCACCTCTCCTTTGAAAAATCATTCTTTTAAAATATTATTTCGAAGAAAAAGGTGCACTCGGATTTTTATTGGAGGATTATTTCGTTGTTATTATCATCAATAATATCGTCATCCATTATTGTTATTATTATCATTATCATTATCATAATAATAATTATTATTATTATCATTATCATTATCATAATAATCATTATTATTATTATCATTATCATTATTATTATCATTATCATTATCATAATAATCATTATTATTATTATCATTATTATTATTATTGCTTCAATATTTTAATTTTCAACACATATGTATCTAAGTTATGTTTGAGAAATGAGAACATTAGCTACTATTAGCTGCTAATTCTTTATCGAACATGAGGCTGAAGCTGTTGTTTATTAAATTTTCTCCATTTCTAATTATAATTTAATAAATAAAATAAAAATAAGATTTATGTATTATTATTAATTTTTCATAATTTATGAATCAACTCTCGAAGTTTCTGTTTTCTCTATATTAATTCTTTGAAAAAACAAAATTCGCTCATGAACAAATCATAATCAGGGCCTTCAGTCATTTCATTTGATACTTTATATCAGTAAAAACTCGACATAAATTTATTACACAAACAATATATTTTAAGATTTATATTAATAATAAGTCGAATTTTTATTTGGCAATATACTCGAATTATGCGACTTTTGGTCGCAGCTTTTAACCTACGTAGCGAACGATCCTTAAACAACGTGATGATCACCTGATTATGTGCACGCGATTTTTTTTAAAAACAAAACTTTTTTTTAAATTCTCCTACGTTTATGAAAAATCAATACGATTTTACGGCAATATGACAATATCAAATTCGATTGTAAAAATTTTTTGTTCATTGATTAATAGATTAAGTGCTTCATAATTTTGAATTCGATAGCTTCCAGTACAGTTATGAATCGAATCAATTGAATTGACATCGTAATACGAAATCGACTTTGCAAACTTATTAAATTAGGTTATATAACGATGAAGTTTAAGACTTTAAATAGTTAATATAAAAAATTAACGCGAATTATAATTAATAGTTTTTGGATTAAGTTATATACACAATGCTGATAGCAAATGTGGATTCTGACAAAGAAGACCAAACCGAAGAAAAACTAGTTGTTGCCATGAACAGAAACATATAAGATGAGTAATGTGACTAAAATAGTTCATATTAGACCTTTCCACTAAAAGAAAAAAGATGAGTAAATCTCCACTAAATAATGTGATTATTCAAAAAGTCTTGAATTTTTTTTTAAAATTAATCTAAATCTTTTTTTTTTTTTATCTCAAAATTACTAATAAATCAGTACACGGCTATTCAGCTAACTATTATAATATATATCATACCAAAAATAGTAAACTGACATATCAAAGAATAAGATGCATGCGTCAGTACATTGATATTTAGATAAACTCGTGAGGCAAAATACTTCTCTTCTCGTACAACCCTCCATATATTAAACATACTTAAAACTAACATAAAAACCGAGAAACCTGTGTTTAATCCTTGGTCAAAAATAAAATATGATTATATAGGTAAAAATAAGAAAGTTTATGTAAAAATTACTTATTTACGTATCGATTCAATTCTTTTAAAAAAAGTCATTTCTTTCTCCACGTTGCATAGGTAACGGATTTATAATGTAATATACTTAACAGAAGATGCACAGATAAGAAAGTATACTCAATTTTTTCTTAGTAACCAACCCATTTTTTATTTTATAGCAGCTTTTTTCCTAATTATAAATTGGTTATAAAGGTACTCACTCCTAGAGAGATAGTTATAGGTTAACTATATCTGGCCAAGACAAGTATTCGATAAATCAAAACCGATACTAATTTATTTATTTTAAATTATTATAATGGGAAAAGAGATAGTTATGAAAAATGCATACTATTGTTGAAAATTAAAGATTAAAATTAATTAATTCATTGCTTTGTTTAAGTTTTTTTTATAGCTTTGAGCGTAAATCGGAATTATACGGATACTGTACGTACTGTACGAGAGTCCAGTTTTATTGATGGTATAAGCAATTATTAATTTTATGAGAAGAAACAGATAAACATTGTATACCAAAGTATTTAATTAATGAATATTACAACGCTAAACAAAAAAAATTGATTACAAAAAATAGCAGATTATCAGTGTTACAAAAAAAAAAAAAGGAATATGTTTGAAAGGATTTTTTAAAACATATAGAAATCATTGTTTAAACTTAAATGTTAAAAATTTCTTCAACGTGCTAATCTTAAGAATGTAATTATGGAAAAACTTTGCCCAATAATTCAAATCAAATAGTCTTAACTAAATAAATAATTTGATATATTTAATTTTTTATGTTTAAATGAAATAATGAATCAATTTAATAAAATGAACGAATCGATTTATGACTTATGTAATATTAATTACTATTTGTTGCTGACTTAGCCAAGTCTTTTAAAAAACTTGTTGTCACCTGATCACCACGTTGAGGTGCAGCAACATTGATCAGGGGGGAAGGGGAGAAAGGGAAAACGGAAGGGAAAGGGGAGAACGAGAGGGAATGGGGAAACGAGAAGGAATGGGGAGAACGGGGAAAGAATGAGAGGGAAAGGGGAAAACGAGAGGGAAAAGGGAGAACGAGAGGGAAAGGGGAAACGAGAGGGAAAGGGGAAAACAAGGGGGAAAAGGAAAACGAGAGGCAAGGAAAGGGGATACGAGAGAGAAAGGGGAGAACGGAAGGGAAAGGTAACCGGAAGGGAAAGGGAGAACGAGAGGGAAAGGGGAAACGAAAGGGAAAGGGGGAGAACGAGAAGGAAAAGGAAAACGAGAGGGAAGGAAAGGGGATACGAGAGGGAAAGGGAGAACTAAGGGAAAGGGGAGAACGAAAGGGAAAGGGAAACGAAAGGGAAAGGGAAACTGAAAAGAAATACACAAACATACACACCACCCACACACCCACACACAAACCCATACACAAACCTACGCACAACAACCCACATACCTAAAGGGAGACGTGAAGAAAAGGAGCCTAAGAATAAAAAGAAGACCTAAGCAAAGAGAAAACAGACCGATAAAGAAGACCTAAAAAAAGAAGACAAAGAAAAAACAAAGAAGAAAACTGACATATTTATATTATTTAAATTATTATTTGCATATTTGCATGAGTAATCACGTAAGTAACTTTTATTCATATGACCGATATGACTCATATGAGTAATTATCAGTTATATATAATAGTCTAATGCGGCGCTATTATCCAATAATATATAATTATATTGTATATTACACTAGGAAATGGGAAACCGTTATTAAGTCCGAAGTATTCAAGAATTTATTGTTCCTTTTCAGTATTTGATGTGCTCTCGTAGATAAACGAAACGTAATAACAATTTATGAGTGAAGAACAACATATATAAAATTATGTCTCCACAAGCCTCTACCATCATGGAAACAGCATTTCTTTCCTTGCCTTATTGATTGATTCGTTCTATAAAAATAGAATTAACCACTTACATCGTCACGACGTCACGTGCCGGACGGACAGACGGACATTATAATCAAAAAGGAAAATTCAGGGGTGAATAAAGGAATATTACATGGGTTAACTATCAATAAGAAAGAATTAAGTAATATTTTAACGAAAATAACGATCCTGTGTAATAGAGTTATCAGGTAGAAACGCTTCCTGAATATCGGTTAAATGCTTAGATTTACGAGTATAACAATTTTTTCAATAAATTTGTTATATAAATACGTGCACTAACTTTTCTGTTATTTCAATTTACTTAAGAACTTTTTTTCTTGTAACGTTAAATTGATTGTGTAATTTGACAATATTTGTTTAAGAATACACTAAATACATTCAATGGATTCCTGAAAAACTTTGTAATTATCTATTTCAATTTTCAAACTCTGTTGGTATACGATACAACTAAACCATGTGCCACTGCCATGACATAATAAATCACAGCCACTACCACTATAGTTTATCCTTGCGGTTTTTGTATTCTCCTTATCTTCAAAAGAATATATAAAACTATCAACTGTGGACCCATTACGATCCCATTGAAGTGGATTATATCCTCCAACTATTTGATCTGGATCGCTAATTTTAGCAAGAACTATAGTAGCTCACATTTATCATGAAATGCTTCAGGTGTATAACTATCTCTACTAGCACGATAAAGTAAATTAAACTTATAAGGAATGTTTCTTAAATTATAATGCGAATTTTTATTCTTATCAACCCAATTAGCAAAAATAGCGAACTGTTTACGTTCAATTATGGTTGAATCATAAATACATTCTGATTTTAACCTTTTAGGATCGAATATTAACATTTAATTCCCTATTTGGTGCTATATGAAATTTCGGTAGTAATTCCTTTAAAGGATATATTTTATCAAGGAAATTGTTTGATGAAATATGATAAAATCTTATTAATAGAGTAAATCATGAAGAGTTTTCTCAATAATTGTAATATCATCCTTGCTCCAATTTGTGGCGTCTTGTGAAATAGAAGGATTTTGTGCAATAATACCCTATTTTAATAGACTATCCCAAATAAAAATTTCGACCAATTCCAAATCATCCATTTTTAAAAGTAATTTTAATAAAGGTTCTTTTAAACTGGTAAATTTATCAGAATCAAATAATAGTATAGGATTTTCACAAATTGTCTTCACTATAAATCTGTGAATGATTTATGTTGACAAACTGTTTCAAGAATTTCAATAATATTTTGTTGCAAAAATTCATATCGATGTTCAATCAAGTATTCTTGAACGCAAGGAATTAATTTATGGAAGTTAGGTTCATCTATTGCTATCAAAAGCTCCATGACGACTTATTTTAACGAAGTCTTGGAATCATAGTATGGGGGGCTTATTATGACGAAATACGAAATATATTAGGTTGCAGTGACGTCAGATTTTTTAATGATAAAATCATTTCTTTCACATCGTTATTATAAGTCACTGATCTGTTGAGTATATTTTATTATTAATTATGATGGTATATACCTTACGGTAGTCTTACGGTACGACTTTTTTTTAAAAAAAATACGGTTGTTCCCTCTTTAACGGCTTTAAAACAAAAAAAAAATTGCTTTGGAAGTCTCTTGTGAAAATTCAAGATGCTATCATATGCTAATATGTCTTTGTAAGAATTAGGCATCTGTTCGCGTTAGTAGCGAAAGCTATGTACTGTACCTTGCTTGACTAGTAGATAGTTAAGAAACTGGTTATCGTTATCGTTATCGGTTTTATAGTTATTGTTATTGTCTTTGTCGTTATGGTTATGGTTATGGTTATCGTTATCGTCTTGTCTTCTTTTTATTGACTTTCATATAAATAATACTAATATTAAAATTATTTTTTTTTTTCACAAAAGAAACCTCTTGCGGTAGTTGCGGAAAAGATCAAAAGTATTCATTCTTTTAAAGTAAAAAATGCCAAAAACTCGTGAGCTTACTCCTTTTGAACGCGACGAAATTATTGGACTTCATAAGAGCTCACATACCGTTACAGATAGGAATAGTGTTTCGGGCGAAACCGAAACTAAATTTTTGGCGAAACTCCTATGATAAATTTTTTTTTAAAAAAAAATAACATAATTTGCATATCATATAAATACAAAATTATTATTTTTAATCTATTTTGGTTTTTCAAAATAAATTTTCCATCTTTTTTATTGGTCCATTCATTAGAGAACGCCGTACAAAAAATACGTGTGCTTGTACTGTACATAAAATATTCGAATGAGCATGAAATTTTTTATATTTTTTATATTTTTTATATTTTCATTTTCACCAACGTAGATACTAGTAATGACATCATATCCCTTTTCAGTTGTATTAGAAAGATATAACGAAAATTTTAAGCAAAAACTGTTTAAAGAATTAGTTTATGAATAATCTATATAACTAAAAAAATTCGTATAAATAATTGCGCCCAATCTATTCCGTATCTATTATAGATAAGATATCATGATCATATGTAGATTTTTGTGGCTCGGTTAATTAAATTTTACCAGAAAGAAAATTATTGTAAATGTGATCAATATTCTCTGAAACACTTAAAGTTAATTATGTGTATGTGATATAATTATGTATGTATTGAATGTATATGTATTGTTGGTCACTCAATCTCAAATACAGATTTAACTGAAGATTTTCACTAACGAAGCCATTTCCCGGATGATGCGATCAGCCGCAGCAGATCGTATTTCTTTGAATTTTTTTTTTATTTTTTCGGAACCGAAAAAAATTTATTTTTTTCTTTTATTCAATACCGAAAAATTGTTTTTTTAATTATTTTTTATTTCCGAAAAATAAACTTTTTTAATCGTTTTTTTTTTTTTTGGTTCAAGTCGAATCGAAAAAAAATTTTTTTTTAATCAAATTGTTTTGTTTTTAATACCGAAAGTAATTTTATATATGTATATATATTTAATCATCTTTTATTTTTTCTTGTTTAGAAAGTAGAGAATTTAATTAATAAAATACGGGGGAAGTATAAAAATCTTTACATGAACTACGTAAATAAATTTGAGCTACCATTTTTTATATAGCGTATTAGAGGCAATGAAAAATTCAGACAATTATTTATTGAATTAATATCCGGATGATTTGATTTTTGACCGCCGTTATAATTAAGTCTCGATTTTAAATTAAAATCTACAAAACTAAAAAGTTTATCCAAATGAAATTTTGGCTAATTTCTTCGAATTATTTCTGTCAATGTGGGATTAAAATTGACACTAGAATAACTGGAATGATATTTTTATAAAGAAATATATATACTTACTTTTTTAATTACCAGTATTGAGTATTAAGTATATTACAAAATGTAACGTTGTTTTGAAATTGCAAAAGATCTTTTATTAGTTGGTTGATTCATGATAGCAAAGATAAAAAATTGATTTTGATTTATATTTAAGTCAGACTAATTTAGGTGGAAAATGTAAATTAATGTTCAATTATGACAGGATCTTTCATTTGTGTTGCAAGTATAAAAATTTCTTTAATCTTTATAGTTAGTTACATATTTTTATATTAATCGTAGAATAATAGTTAAGGGAGTTAAATTTAGTTAAAATAATCTCTGTTGAATATAAATTAGTATAAAAAAAAAGTCAAGAGAATAAAAAATAGTGCGTAAGATATTTTTATTATACGCTAGATTCTAATATAATAATTTACTATGTAGTAAAACTAAAAATTCTGTTAAATCCAATAACTTTCAGATTAAAGTAACTTTAAATAATGACTATAAGATACTATTTACTTAAACTTTACTTAAAATATAGTATCTTATAGTCATTATTTAAATTTATTCAGATAAAAGACTTAGACATTAATTGAATATCAAAAATCTTTTACTTATGAGAAGAATATTTCACGAAAAAAATGCGATAATTAGGAGGTAGTTATTAAATCTACAGGTTAAGAATGAAAAGTGATTAAAGTGATTCATGAAAGTCTCCTAAAATTTATGAGTGTTTAGTGTAATATCTATTCAATAAATAAACACTTGCTATCTTTTAGTTTTAATAATATATTAAATAAAATTAGGCCAATTTGATGATAAAGTACAAGCAAAAAAAAAGCTATTTAATCTCTGAATAACTCAATATATTTAAAAGAGTTCCGTCTAAATGAATATGAATTTATTTATTTTTTAATGACTTGAAAAACTTCGTAATCATCTACCTTGAAATATCCTGTTGGAATACCATCAATTTTAGGATAAGAATTTGTTGAACATCTGTACCAATTATTACCATCTAGATATGCTATTAAGTCGCCTCCACCAAATGCCGGTCCATATACAGCTAAATTTCTTATAGAATAATTATCACCGTTACTGTAACTAACTTTTGCACTTTTTGTATCTTTCCCATCAGTAAATAAGTATATATAACTATCGTTCGTAGAACTATTTTGATTACTTGAATTCCAAAAAAGTGGATTATACCCTCCAACTATTTTTTCTGAATTTGAGATTTTTACTATGACTATGGTGGGTCCCTTGTTATCACATTTAGCATGAAATGCTGCGGGTGCATTGCCATCTCTACTAGCACGATAAAGTAAATTGAATTTATAAGGAATATTTCTTACATTATAATGTAAATTTTCTTTCTTATCAATCCAACTAGAAAAAACAGCAAAATGTTGACATTTAACTATAATTGAATCATAAATGGTTGAATCATGAATGAACTTTGGTTTTCTAGGAGGTTGAATTTCGTCAATATTTGGTTTCCTATTTGGTGCAATATTAAATTTCACCAATTCATCAAATAAATCTTTTGGTAGTAATTCTTTTAAAGGATATATTTTATCAAAAAAATCATCAGATGAAATATGATAAAATCTTATTAATGGAATAAATCCATGAAGAGACCTTTCAATAATTGTAATATCCTCATTACTCCATTTTGTGATGTCTTGTGAAATAGAAGGATTTTTTGCAATACCCCATTTTAATAGATTATTCCAAATTTCAATTTCGTCTAAAACCAAATCATCTCGCTTTAAAATCAATTTCAATAAAGGCGCTTTTAAATTGATAAAATTATCAGAATTAAATAACATTTCAGGTTCCGCACAAATCTTCTCAAGACAATAATTCCATAAATCTGTGAATGATTCATGTTGATAAACTGCTTCAAGAATTTCAATAGGATTTTGTTGCAAAAATTTATCTTGATTATTAATCAAGTATTCTTGAACATGAGAGATTAATGAATGGAAGTTAAGTTCATCTAATGCCATCAAAAGCTCTAATATTTCGGGGCCCAACAATTTTGTTAAATCAATTTTTCCACAATAAATAAATCTAGATAATTAAAAAATATATGTAAATTATATAACATTAAACATTGAATTTTCATAATTTTACGTTACCTTAAAATAATTTTAAATATTTGAGGAGAAATGTTTGGTTTTTCAAAAATAAAATTTCCATCTTTTTTATTGGCCCATACTCTGGAAAATGCTGTGCAAAAATATTTAGACCTTATGCATAAAATACTTGAATGTGCACGTAATTCTTTTACATTTTCATTTTCACCAGCGTAGATAATAACATCATATCCATCGTTAGTTTCAAGCACTTTTTCCAAGTCGCCAATAACTTCCTGAGAGTAATCGAGAGACATTTTTTTTTTGTTAGAGAATTCGAAAAATTTAATTTTCAAAAGCCAAGAAATTTTGTACGACCTTTTATCAGCATCTAAACTTTATTTTATTGAATAAACTCCATGTAATGTACGTAATACGTTACATTGTAATGTATTACGTACTTAAATGATATCTATCACATGATATTCAACCAATGAAATGTTATATTATATTACGCATTTAAAAAATTTTTACAAGTTATGTAAGTTATGTACAAGATAAATATATATCGAGTCTGGATAAAGATTCGAACTTGTTCCTTAATTTTTCTTTTTCTAGTTTGATTGGCTAAATTTTTCGGTGAAAACAATTGGTACGTGCCATTCTATTATAGTTCATCATAAATATGTACTATAGGAAGTTAATATTATTATGTTATGAATGAAAATTTCACTAACGCTAAAATGGAAAGAGGGGCGAAAAGCGGAAATTGTAAAAAAGCCACTTGCGCTAAAAAAGAAATTTTAATAAAAGAGATTACTAACTAAAAAAGGAAAGAAAGATATTAGATTTGAAAATGATTTGATCTACAATTGACTTCAATATTAATGTAATTCAAAAAAAAAAAAAAAACAAATCGTGGAAAAATAAATTATAGGGCGGATCCCATTATATCCCTTAATTCCTTATGACCTTATGACCTTATGACCTTATGAAAAAATCAGTGTGCGATCGAACTCTAACAGGTTCTCGAATTTGATCAGCTGATCATCGCAAAAAAATTTTTTTCGTTCCTTAAAAAAAAAGGATGAAAGGAAATGCGTCGTAAGTCGTAAGTTTAGTAATCGGGAGCTCCGTAATTTCGGTTCCGATAATTTCCAGTACGAACTGATTGAATCAGTTGATCGTCGTAAAAAATTTTTTCGTTCCTTAAAAAAAAGGATGAATGGAAATGCGTCGTAAGTCGTAAGTTCAGTAATTGGGCGTTCCGTAATTTCGGTTCCATCAGTTATGAATCGAATCAATCGAACTAATATCACAAACCCACAAACCTGGATTCATCCCTAATTAATAGTCGAACGCTCAAAGTTAAGCTTTATGTATTCTAATATTTGTTTTTATTATAAAAATTTATCTACAAACTTTTTTAAATTATGTTGTACAATTATTAAGAAATTAATAAAAAATTGTAAAATAAAAAATAAAAAAAAAACTTAATATAAAATTTTGTTTATACTATATTAAAAATCTATAAAAAAAAATATTAATTCTATGAAATTATTAATTATTTAAAAATTTAAAATTAAAAATTATGTGTATTATTATATAATTTAAATTATTATTGTTGTTTTCTTTTTTCATTAAATAAAGTTTTAAATAATTTAAAACTTCTTCTTTTAACGAGTTTATCTTCATTATTTTTAATTTTATCTGGTTTAGTCTTTCCTACTATATTATTATTATTTTTCAAATTTAAATTTAAATCTTGATTAATTTTTTGAACTTGAATATTTTCGTCCTTCCTTTTTAATATAACTTGAAATACTTCATAATCATTTACATTAATTATTCCTTTTCGCATACCATCAATTTTAGGATACGAACATGAACCATTACTTCTCCAAGTACCATTACTATCACAATATAAATCATTACCACCACCAAATGTTGGTCCATTTAACGCAATATTTCTTATAGAAAATTGATCACCATTACTATAACTCAATTTTGCGTTCTTTCTATCAGAGTATAAAAATATAAAACTATCAACTGTGGAACTATTTTGATCACTTGAATCCCATTGAAGTGAATTATAACCTCCAATTATTTGATCAGAATCGCTAATTTTAGCAACAACTATAGTTGCACCTTTATTATCACATTTAGAATGGAACGCTTCAGGTGTATAACCATCTCTACTAGCACGATAAAGTAAATTAAAATTATAAGGATTATTCTTTATATTATAAAGTAAAGAATCTTTCTTATCAATCCAATTAGCAAAATTAGCAAAATGATGATTTTCGATCAATATTGAGTCATAAATACATTTTAATTGTCTAGGACGTTGAATATCATTAACATCTGATTTCCTACTTGATGCGATATGAAATTTTAATAAACCATCAAGTAAATCTTCTGGTAATAAATCTTTTAAAGGATATACTTTATCAAGAAAATCTTCTGACGAAATATGATAAAATCTTATTAATGGAATAAAATTATGAAGAGTTTTCTTCATAATTGTAATATCATCCTTTTTCAACTTTGTGATATCATCATCTTTTGAAATAGAAGGATTTTGTGCGACACCCCATTTTAATAAACCATCCCAAATAATAATTTCCTCTAAATATAAATCATCCCGTTTTAATAATAATTCTAATAAAGATGATTTTAAATTAATGAATTTTTCGGAATTAAATAAAATTCTTGGATCCTCACAAATTTTTTCAAGACAATGGTTCCACAACTGTTCGAATGATTCATGCTGATAAACTGTTTCGAGAATTTCTATAGGATTCTGTTGTAAAAATTCATCATGATGTTTAATTAAATATTCTTGAATACAAGATATTAATGATTGAATACCAAGCTCGTCCACTATAGCCAAAAGTTTTAAAATCTCGGGACATTGTAATTTTATAAAGTCAATTTTCCCACAATAAATAAATCTAATTAATTAAAATATAAGTAAAAGTTAGATAATAATTACGTTAATTACGTTAATTACGTTAATAAACGACAAACGACAAATGAAAAACGAATTTTTTTTTTTTTTACCTTAAAATAATCTTAAATAATTCGGGTGAAACATTAGGTTTCTTAAAAATAAACTTTCCATTCTTTTTTTCAGCCCATTCATTAGAAAACGCCGTACAAAAATATTGTGACCTAGTGGATAAAATATTTGAATGAGCATGTAATTCTTCTGTATTTTTATTTTCTCCAGCGAATATAATAACATCATATCCAATTTCTGTTGTGAACAATTTTTCTAAATCAATAATAACTTCCTGATAATATTCGTAGGACATATTTATTTTTATTTATTTATTTATTTATTTTTTTACTTTTTTTTTTTAAGAAAACGAATTATTATTTATACATAAAATAAGATAAAAAAAAATCACATATTCATCAATTTTTCGAGCATTTTNTTTTTTTTTTTTTTTTTTTTTTTTTTCTTTTATAAAGTTTAAGTTTTTAAAAAGAAAATTAATTAATATTATAATGAATAAATATTCGGAAATTCAAGGGGGATATATTATATACTAAGTTTGATTTTTTGTGCGACAAATTTTATTTCGATCTACAAAATGCAGCCGTAGCTAACAACTTTAGAAAAATTTAGAAAAATAATATGCATTTTGCTGATCGACGGATAATAAGTAGTTTTGGAAATAATTTAGCCAAATTCTTAGAAAATTCCCTTTGATAAAATTAAATTAAATTATTTATGCAATGCGCAAATTACCGACATGAATGTTAAACAATTATAATAAATTAGATAAAGTACAATATAAAAATTGAATAATATCTTAATTTAAATGATCTCTAATTTAAATAAAATAATAATTATAAATTATAATCAAATAATTTTTATAGTATAATGATAATGAAAAGAATAAGGTAAAAATTGTGAAAGTATGAAAGTACAAATAATTAATTTTAAAAAAATTTTCATGTGACGCTCATGAATTTGTGACGATTATTTCCTAAAAAAAAAATTATTAATTTTTGAATAAAGTAAATTGTTTGTTGTATACTTGTATTAATTGTAAATAAAAGGCTTATTTTTGCTTATTTTTTATTTTCCGCATTCCGCAACGTGAGACCTTAAAAGCTTCATATTTAATTATTGTTGCGCCTCAGGCGCAAATTCCGCGTTTCACAGTGTTACGATTCTGTCATGAGTGACAAATAACATGCATGACGATCGACAAATATATTCATGTCATATTAGGCAAGGCTTAGACAGTCAATATTACATGTCACACCTATTCGTGGCTATGCATGATTGGTGTTCATTCATAATGTAAATAATATGAATAATATGTAATAATATGTAAATAATATATTGTTTTTTTTCGCGCAGACATTATCGATTTATTGTATCCCAAAAAGGTAATTTAAAAAGATTAAGTATCATTCTTTTATAATTTCATAATAAATTCACTTTACTGAAAATTGATCTACCAATTTTAGATCTAGCTGCGGTTCATGCATCAGTGCAGCAATTTGTCAGCGTAAATAAATACTCGCGTAACAAATATTGGGTCGTTAGATTAAACGCCTCACCCTTTTGTCTTTTCCCATCGCTTCGCTTTACATTATGGCATGTTCAAAAGTATTTTCAGGGGATTTACCTGAATTATTAAATGGAATCATTCAATTTTTTAAAAATGACTATAAAACTTTAAGATCATGTATTTTAGTTAATAGATTATTGTGTCGTTTAACAATTCCATTATTGTGGGAAAATCCATTTTCAGTTATAGATAATTTTGATCTTGGTAGAAAAAAATATCAATTTATTGAAATTTATTTACATGAATTAAATGATGATGATAAAATAAAATTAAAAGAATATGGAATTAATTGTGATTTATTTCCTTCAAATACATTATTTAATTATCCTAGTTTTATTAAATATTTTTCTACTGAAGTATCAAGTATCTCTATTGATGAATGGATTGAAAATAATAAAACTTTACCAATTATAGAAAACCTTACCTTACAAATTGAATCATCACGTGAACTTATAGGATTTATATTCTTGAAATTAATTAAAATATTTATTAAAAATGAAGTTAAATTACATACTTTTAACCTTGAAATTTCAAATACTTTAAATTTTATAGGAATTAAAAATTTTAATAATACTTTTGAAATAATTTTAAAAAATCCAAATTTCATTTATAATATCAAAATTTTAAAATTTCATTTAAATATAATTATTTCAAATTTAACATGTTTTAAATGTTTTTATATTAATTGTGATTTAATTTCATCATTTTATATATTCAATCCTTTAAATCAAAATATTTCTTCATATGATAAAAATTTTTCACAAATTATTAATTCTCAACATAATCTTAAAAAAATTTTATTTCAAGATGAATATTTTTTAAATAATTTAAAAAATTCAAATTGTTCAAATACTTTAAAAGTTATTATACTTTATGAAATAGATTTTAAAAATATTGTTATATTTAAGGAAGTATTTGAAAATTTAAATGTTTTGGAATCTATTCATTTTCTTTATTGTTCATCTTTAAATTCTGGTATTATACAACAAATTATTAATTTAACAAAACCATTTAAATTAAAATCTTTATTTTTAAATGAACAACCTGATATATTAGAAATTGTATTATTACAATCTTTATTAAGAAAAACTGGTGATTATATAGAAAATATTGGTTTTAAACATTTAATAAGTAACAAATTAAGACAACAATTCTTTGAATTAACAAAAAATTATTGTAAAAATATTAAATTTTTTGATTTACTTGGTTTTGATAATCAAAATATTTATTTGGCATTTGATTCAATTAAAAATATTAGACATAATCTTAATTATCTTACTATTAATTTATATAAATTTTATCAATTTGATTGGGAATTTACTCTTAGTTCTGTTATATTATTTAATTTAGGACAAATTCTTCCTTATAAATTAGAATATTTAAGTTTATCTCTTGATGATATTAATATTTTTGATTTGGAAGTATTTTTTAAAAAATCTGAAAATACTTTTATTAACAAATTACTCATATATAATAGATTACATTTAGATAGTGATGATATTTTACCTTGTATAAAGAATTATATTATGAAAGAGAAAAAAGTAAGATATTTTGCTATGAAAAGTCTTTACCCTGATGGAAAATCAAAAGATTTATTTTCTTTAAAAGATGAAGTGAAGGAATTTGAATTTTATAATATTATTATTCAAAATTATGATAGTTTAAATATTCGAGCTCGTAATTTTATAATGTAAAAGGTATTAATTTAGTCATATATTTGTTTTTTACTAAATTTTTATATATATAAGTTATTATTATTATTTTTTTTTTATCAATTTAGTAGCAAATTATATAACATGTTATCTTATATTATAAATAAATATTTTTTAAAATCAAAAATTATTAATGATAATGTATTACCAGGACGTATTAAACCGGGTATATGAGATTTTTAATATTCAAGTCCGGTGACTCGCTTTAATTTTCAAAGCAATAAATTTATAATTTCAAAAATGGGACAAATATAAATATCTTAATTCAAATTATCTAAAATTTTTTGTGATTTACTGAGTTTGCAAAATTTTTTGTGAATCAATTAACTAAATTTCTAAATTCAACCTTTTACTAATTTTGCAAATGAAAAGATTTTTCTTGATTTCAAATCGAAATGTAACGATGAAATGTAACGATGACTCACCAACAAATTTTTAAAATTTATTATGTAAATATGACGACATCCAGATTTATCAGCAGATATATCATGATCTGATCTCATAAATCATAATACAATATGATTGGCAAAAGACGCAGCGACCGCAGCGTGACCCAGTCATTTAAATCATTCTATTCTCAATTCCAACTTGCAATCTTTACTTTTTCTCACGCTCCAACATTTTATTTTTTGACTCCAACATTTATTTTTTGATAGAAATAATAAAGCATTAGTTAAAATCATGTCGTCTGGATTTGATCTCGATGAATTTCTTAAAATGCAACATCTTAAAACTCAAATGGATTATAATGTTATTGTTCAAGTTGGAAAAGAACATGATTTTGAGGAATTTCATATGAACTCTGTTTTCTTAATTTCAACATCCGAATATTTTAATAAAATATTTTCTTCTGGAAATATGGTGAAGAAAAATGGAAAATATACTATTAAGATAGAAAATATTAATCCCTATACTTTTAATTCTATGTTTATGTAAGTTAATTTTCAATCTTTTTGTATGAAATTACAAAAAAAAAATTAAATTTGTTATTAATCTTAATTCTAGGTATATTTATACTGGTCAAGTTAATCTCAATAATAAAACCGGAACTGAGCTTTTGGACATTGTGATCGCCTCTGACGAATTGAAGTTGAAACCATTGACTAAAACTACTGAAGATTTTATGATTGAAAATCATCAAGGATTCTTACGAATGGATCCAGTTAGAATCCTTATTGAAATTATTAATTGTAATGAATCACTTGTTAATTTACAAGAGAATTGCTTAAAAATAATCTGTTCTGATCCTAAAATTTTGTTCAACTCAAATAAGTTTATCTATTTACCTGCTACTTTGTTAGAAATTGTTTTAAAACGAGATGATTTGAATTTAGCCGAAATTGAAATTTGAGAAGGTTTAATCAAATGGGGATTAGCTCAAGAGAAAACACCTGATCAAGATGTTACTAAATGGAATCAAGATGATTTTAACCATTTTCAAGGAATTCTTTATAAATTAATTCCTTTAATTAGATATTATGAAATATCATCTGATGATTATTTTAACAAGGTTAAACCTTATGAAAAAGTTTTACCAAAGGAATTAGTAGATGATATTTTAAAGTTTCATACGGTTTCTGGATATACACCAACTCTCAAAGTTTTACCGAGACGTCCCAATTCGCAAAATTAGGCTATAGTAATGATCAATATTCTATGAGTTGTTTACACACAACATGGACCAGTGTTTAGCAGTTATTTTTTCATGTCAGAGATGGTACTTTATGGAATATTAGTAACGATAATTATTCTAATATTCAAATAATGTGAATGCAGATAATTATGAAGTTTTTCAAGTTATGTAGAAGTAAATAAAAAGTTAATAAAATTATTTTATGATTTGATGATTTAATTAAAATTTTAAAATTTTAATTTTATTGTTTATCTTTAATCATACAATTTCTTGAATTATTAAAATAGCCAATAATTATTTCTTTATTTCTTAAATGCTATAAAACCTTTATTAATGTTAAAACTTAAACAAGTTGTTCATATATTAACCAAAATCTAATGCAAAAAATACAATGAATGTAATAAAAGTTAATAAAAAATTATTAAGGTTATTATGTATAATGATTTAGGTCTGTAAATAAAATATTTGTACGATTTATTTCATGGAGGGTTGTGAATAATAGGACTTTTCCCGAAGGGAAAAAACCCCTAATGTTTCCCTTCTCATGAAATAAATGGGTAATCCCCTGGAGCGTGTCACTCATTAATTATTAACTATTTTAAGAAACAATTTTAAACTACTATATGAGGCCGGGAAATAATAAACGAAGATTCCAATTTTTTTAAAAATTAGTATTAAGGATGAGTAACACTTAGTGCGACAGTAAATAATTAGTACGTGTTAACCAATTAGCCAGGAAATTTCTTTCTTTCAATAATATTATGTCAGCCGTAGCATAATGAAATAATATTTGATTACAAACATTATACTTCTGAGAAAATGGAATTTTAAGAGATACTGTATGTTCATCAGTATTAAAGCCAACACCAAAAGATAAGAGCAAGTTCTTGAAGTAACTGTTATGTTGATATAAACATAAGATTGTTTCAAACCATTAAATTCTCATAAAAAAAAGAAAATACTCATAAATCAAAATAAAAAAAACTTATTGATCCTAAGTTTTCATTTAATGTTATAAAATTTTGAAAACTTTTAGTTAGAAATTTTCTTATAATATACCTTCTTATTATAAAAAATAATTGACTATAAATCAGATAAGTAGTTAAGTATGACAAAATTAAATTTAACTTAATATTCTGAATGTAATAAAAGTGATTTAAGTAAAATAAAAATAAATAGTTTCTAACCTAATTCGTAATATTATCATATTTTTTTTTCTTTAAAGGTAATACAAAATTTAATCCGCTCATGTATATATAACAAAATTGCCACAACAGATAGGTTTTATTTGATCCGGTCGATTACTTCGACCCATAATATAATAATAACTTATATTTTCACTTTCATTTAAAAATTGAATTCTGGACATTATTTAAATAAGAAAATATGTAATTTTCATTTTTTGTTGAACAAAAATGAATTCCGGACTTTTTTCTAGTAAAATAACTGTATTTTTGTTTTTATTAAAAAAAAAGAGAGATTAAAAAAAAGCGATTTTTAAATTTTTTTTACTTGAAAATTGGTTTTATTAAGAGTTTTTCGTTTGAAAAAACTTTTTTTTGATAAAAACGTATAACATCGTTCTATACTATATAAAGGAAATTTTACCATAAAAAGAAATTTTAAAAGAGGAAATTTCGAAAATCAAAATTTTTGATTTTACAGCGAAATATATTTAAAAAATAACCTAGTAATAATTACGTAAAAATAAACTATTTTTGATTATGACGCAATGATTACGTATAAATAGACTATTTTTACATTAAATTCTTTTTAATTCTTTTTTCCCATACTTCGTTCTTTACGAGAAGAATAGTTAAGGAAGGTATGATTTGATTAATTGCGCCTACTTGCATTTACAAAAAAAGCTTTCTTATGCCTTCCCTTGCACTCAGTATTTGCTTGTTTCTATTTAAAATTCTCATCAAATGTAAAAACAGAACGTGTTGCTTAGGAAATTTCTTTCTTTCAATAATAATACTTATGTCAGTCGTTTATAGCGTAATAAACTTAATAAAATAATACTTACTTTATTACAATTTACAAACATCATTTTTTAGTTTAAAATTAGCCATTTGAACAAAATGGATTTTAGTCAAATTGAGACAATGGTGGTATGCTTTTGCTTGAAGGAAAGCTTACTGTATTGAAAATCTACATCGATAATACTTTCAGTTGAAGGAAATTTAAAAGCTATATTCGTTATTAAAGCCAAATACCAAAGGACATGACTAAAAATAACTGTAATTCGTTTTTATAAACATCAGAGTAATTCAACTAATAAGCATATTAAAATAAAAAAACTTATTGACGCTATTTTAGTAAGTTTTCATCATAAAATTATGCTATCAGATACCTCAATACCTTTCTATAATGGTAATTAAAATTGAAATTTTTTAAATCGTATCAAATGAAAACAGATAAGTCAGGTGTCCCGTTTTAATCGATTTTCCAAACAGAAAAATATGAAATCTTCAAAACTTTTTCGTGAAGATCGTTATCTAAATTTCTTCAATTTTTTCTTGCTGATCATTTCGACCAAAACTAAATTAATTTGACTAAAATTAGTTAAAACCTTGTCGGCTGAAATTATTTGAACTTGTTAATCATTCTATTTCCATTTATAGACTATGATTTACATAAAATAGCGCCCACTTGCATTTAAAAAAACTTTGCTTGTGCTTTCCCTTACGCTCAGCACCTCGCATTCTTGACAAAAAAAATAAAATAAAATACTAGTCGAATCATGTCGAATAAATTTGAATCTGATGTTATAAAAGCGCTTGAAAAAATACTTAAGACTGAAACAGAATATAATGTTATTATTCAAGTTGGAAAAGAGCCTGATTTTAAGGAATTTCATGCGCATTCTATTATCTTACGCTTTAGATCCGAATATTTTAATGAAATACTTTCTGCTGAAAATATAGAGAAGAAAGATGGAAAATATATAATTAAAAAACAAAATATTACTCCCCAAGCTTTTGACGTTATTCTTAAGTAAGTTAATTCAATTTTGCTTGTAAAGAATTAAATTTATTTACATGTTTAATTTTTTTTTTCTTATTAAAAAGGTTTCTTTATACTGGTCATATTAGTATCAATAATAAATCTGGAACTGAGCTTTTAGATATTATGACTTCCTCGGACGAATTGAAGTTAAAACAATTAACTAAGTTTACCGAAGATTTTATTATTGAAAATTATCAACAATTCTTACAAAATGATCCAGTTGGAATCCTTCAAATTATTAATTATAATAAATCATTTGTTGATCTACAAGAATTTTGCTTAGAAGCAATTTGTTCTGATCCTAAAATTTTGTTCAACTCAGATAAGTTCATCAAATTACCTGCTCCTTTACTAGAAATTGTTTTGAAGCGAGATGATTTGAATTTAGCCGAAATTGAAGTTTGGGAAAGTTTAATCAAATGGGGACTAGCACAAGGACAAACATTTAATCATGATGTTACTAAATGGAATCAGGATGATTTTAATCATCTTCAAAGAATTCTTTATAAATTTATTCCTTTAATTAGATTTCATGAAATATCATCTGATGATTACGTCAATAAGGTTAAACCTTATAAAAAAATTTTATCAAAGGAATTGAGAGATGACATTTTAAAGTTTCATATGGCTTCTGGATACACCCCAATTTTCAAAATTTCACCAAGATGTCACAAATTTCAATTCGATTCTGTTATAATAACCAATCAAATTCAAGATTACTCCGTACTTTTTGCGAATTGGATTGACAAAAAAGAGGCAAATAATAAGTATGCTAAAACCATTCCCTATAAATTTAATCTCTTATACAGGGCTAGCAGGGATGGTAACACAACAAAAGCATTTCATGATAAATGTGATAATAAAGGAGCAACTATAGTAATAGTAAAAATTAATGGGACAGAGCAAATAGTTGGTGGGTATAATCCATTCGATTGGGATTCAAGTAATAATTATAAGCATACAACAGACAGTTTTATATTCTCATTTACAGATAGTAAGAATATAAACTCTGCAAAATCAGGCTATAGTAGTGGTACAAGTTCTATAGGCTGTTATCCGCAACATGGACCAATATTTGGTACTAATTTTTATCATGTAATGGATGGTACTCATTGGAATATTGGTAACAACAATTATATTAATATTGGTATTCCAAACAAGCGTATAATTACAGATGATTATGAAGTTTTTCAGGTTATGAAGAAATAAAAAAGTTAATAAATTTATTTTATGATTTAGTAATTTGATGAAAATTTTCAAATTATAATTTTATGCTTATCTTTAATTATACAATTTCTTGTATTATTAAAAACGCATACGACACCTTATTATAAAATTTATCATTATAAATTTCTATTTAAAATCTCATCATTATTTCTTATTTCTTAAATACTCAAAAGTCAAAACCCTTAGTACTAAAAGTCAAACAAGTTCTTCATATATTAACCAAATCCAAGTGCAAAAAATACAATTAATGCAATAAAAGTTATTATGTGTAACGATTTAGGTTTGTAAATAAAATATTATATAAAATCAGAACATGTTACTAGAAAATTTCTTTCTTTCGATAATACTTATGTCAGTCGTCATAGTGTAATAAATAATATTTCATTACAAACACCATTGCTTATTCATTAACAAAATGGATTTTAGGCAGTTCCGAGAAAAAGCCCCTTTTAAGTTTACTGTATTAAAAACTACGTCGATAATTACTTACAGTTGAGTATATCGTCGGTATTAAAGCCAACACCAAAGGATGGGAGTACAAGTTCTTGAAATAACTGTTATGATGAAATTGTTTCAGACCATTAAATCTAGCAACACAATTAATACATCAATGAGCTCATAAAAAAAAGTAAGACATTCAAAATATTCGTAAATCAAAATTTCATAATAAAACTTGATGATATTTTATTATGTTTTCATCATTTAATAAAATAAATTGGGCTCAAGAGAGGCTACCTTCTATAATGAGTAATTAAAGTTTCAATAATGGCAATTTTTTAAATCGAATCAATCACCCGGATAAATAGTAGCCGGATTGATTTGCATAGTTACACGTGACTTCAGACAAAGATCGTTGGGTAAAATCGAAATTTTTTTAAAATATTTATATAAAATCATAATAAAAAAGACAATAGAATAATAAAATTTTAATATAAAAGAATTTGAAAGTTTTATTACAGATAAGTTTAATTATCAATAATCCCAATACATTATTATTATATCTTACCATTGTTCTTCTACATACTAAATAATTCATTTTTTCCAGTGATTTGAAATTATAGCGAACATTTTTTAACCACAAATGGCCTTTTGGTTTTTGTTGAGTGATTCTTCTAACAGCCTTTTGTCTTAATTTTATTACATTCTAAAATAAATTAAGTAAAAATGAAAGTTCAATATTCATATTTAACTTTTCATTTTCTCCAAGACACATTCGTATTATTTAATTGCCGACCCGGCACTGCGTTACTAATAAAATTCGGGTTACAAACTTCAAAAGAGGATATCTCATAGACGACATATTGACTATAAATAAAAGTCATATGATATACTGAAAAAATATCTGAAAAAAAGAATTTGCAAAAAAAAATTATACATTCATACGCAAAATAATGAGTTTACTATGTACGCTACACCTTAAAAAAATACGAAATTTTAATATTTCATTCTACTATATTGTGTTATATACATTAAAAACATATAATTTTTAGCTTTTAAAGTTGTTTTTAAAGACATCTTTGAAATATTTTTATTATTAAAAACAAGTGAAAGTTGAAGAAAACCCGTTACATAAATATAGTTATGGCAAGTCATACTTGCCAAAAAGTTTTATAAAATGAAGGAAAATATTGTATTTATGCTTTGCTAACAACTTAAAATTTTCTAAATGTATTGTAAAATTAAAATTACAGTACATTGTATGCAAACCATGTTAAGATACTCGTTATTGGTCTTGTAGGGACATCGTACAATAGTTAGTATAACATTAATTTTAATATTAATTTATTAACATGTATATTTAATATAAATTGTAGCAAATTATTGTAAAATGCATTATAAAATTCATTGTGAAAAATATATTGTAATTAAGTTATAAAATACATTATCTAATGTAATGTTGTCCAAAATTAATTCCATCACATATACTATCTACTATGGTCCGCCACCTGATTGATCTAATGTATTCGATTTTCTTCAAACCGAATTTTAAATGCATCCTTCTACGCGTCCAAACTTCAAGATCTAAAACTAACTGTATAAAAAAAGAAAGAAACAAATGGTGTTAGTAAGACTTTATTAAAATGCTTTCAAAGTTTAAAAAAAAATCAGATAAACTAAGTTTCGTAATGATACATACAAAACTCAATCCTCCAGTAGTCAGGATTCGAATCCTACAAAATGTAAATAGAGGAACGTCAACAAACGTTTCTTTTTTTAAAAATCAAAAAAGTAAAGTTTATGACGAATTTACTTTATTTTTCCCAATGGCCTAGTCCGTCTGAATCTACAAAATAAAAAGTTCCAAATTTCGAAACACTAAAATATGAGCTGGGGCTATATAATAAAAAACGTTAGTAAAAACATATTTAAGGTCTTCAAATAAATTTCAAAAACTTACCGATTCTGCCATATTCGAATTGGTGCCAAAGTTCCTACAAAAAAAAAAGTTAAAGCCCATTTTTTTTAAAGTTTCAAAATTTATTTTTCGAAACTTACCTGTCCCACATGTCTAAAAGAAAAAATCGAAACTTTTTTTTTATTTTTCATCTAGCGCAAAGTGCTTGTATTGAAAAAACCCCTTCTTTGATATCCATTGTAAAAAAAGGCTTTATAGTCTGGATCTAGCGCTAAATTGTAGTCATCCCTTTCTCTTTTAGATGGTAGTTTATGTTCTCGTCTAAAATTGTTAATTACATTGACCACACCATACCGCCTGAAAAGAATAATCTTTAATTGGTGATGACACGTCCCCTAATAATCCTATGATCCCCGAAATTTGATTTATTGACATGAGCTCTGAAAAAAGAACTACTGTCTTGTATTCCTTCATAATATCCATTTGTCTTGAATGCTAGGATGAATTATCTTCCGGAGAAGACTATCATGTTCTTGTGTAAGTGCTGTCCATTAGGATCGATAGCTTGTTATGTGAAACTTGACCTCCATGGATAATCCAAGTCCTATCCTTTCCCTTCTATCTTTATTGAAAAAAAGATTGAAACGTTAATAAACATTTTGTTAAAATAGATGGCTCATAGAAAAACACACCTTAAACAATAGTACAAGGGTACCGTATGCGTCTTTAATCCAATCAACAGGTTGGCCTTTGATATTCCTAAGTTTAGAAATGGTACCTCATCGATATCTAAAGAAAAGAAAAAAAGTGGAACATTAATAAAACGTTTTGTAAATAAATAAATCATAAAATCTCCCATCGAAATCTCACCCACTAGAGTCTACCTAAAAATTAGCACTTTATTAAAATTTACTTACATAAAATAAATGGAAATGACAAAACAAACACCTGAAAAGTCACCTAATAAATAATTAAATTCGAAAAAAATATAGTCCCGATTTCCTTTCCCATGCACCCCATCTAAAAAAAAAGATAAAATTCGAAATGTTAACATACATTTCATTATAATAAATAAAATCCCACGTGTATAAAGAGACCTGAAGAACTACCTAAGAATGAAAAAATCAAATAGTTAGTAACCGTTCGTTAAAAGAAATTAATAAAAAAAAAATATACTTACCGAATTCCTATATCCAAAAAAAAAGAATTGTTAACAACAGAGTAGCACATCCAAGAATCACCTAAAAAAAGAATAAAAACAAAATTGTTAATGAATGTATCGCTAAGAACAATAAATTCAAAAAAACCCATTCCTACCAGATTTTCACGCATCCTGAGACCTGGTCATCTAAAAAAAAGAGAAAATCGAAACATTAGTAAAATGTTTCGCTAATGAAATAAATTAAAAAAATTTTTTTTTGTTTCAGAAGCCCTTACCGAAACAATACGCATCCAAGGACTGGCCGTCTAAAAGAAGAGGAAATTGAAACATTAGTAAGACAAGAAACAAATTAAAAAATATTTTTTTTTAAGAAGCCCTTACCGAAACAATACGTGTCCAAGGACTGGTCATCTTCTCGTCCAAAAAGAGAAGAAACTGAAACGTTAGTAAAACGTTTCACTAAGAAATAAATTAAAAAAATTTTTTTTTTCGGAGGTTACCGAAACAATACACTTCCAAGGACTGGCTGTCTAAAAAAATAAAACAAATAAAACAAAAGTGAAAATGTTTCGCTAAGAGAAGTAAATTCAAAAAAAAAAAATCTCCTTTCTACCTGAAATCTGCGTCTAAGAGATTTGAAAAAGTCATGGAAAAGGAAAGGGAGATAAGGGTGAGAGTGAGGGAAGGACAGCTCGAGAATGAAGGAAAGGGGAAAGGAGAAAGGGGAAAAGTTAAAAAAAAAGTTTAAAAAAGCTGATCAGTTTGACTGCTGCGGTTATAATATTAACATCACGTGATACACGTGATACATAATTTTATATAAATAGAAGGCTTTCCCCGAAATTTTTTTCTTTTTAAAATTTTTTTTTAATAGATGTATATATATACTTATATATACATATATATATATCTATTAACTTAATACTTTACGAAAGCCTGGTTATAATTATAAATTATAATTATAAAAAATCAATGGCTAATGATTTTATTAATTGCAAAATTTATTGTAAATTATTTGTTACAATATATATTTAAATAATTAATTGTGAAATTTATTGTAAATTATTTTGTACAATTTTATATATAGATAAACAGTGATAAAATTTTGTGAAAATATTATGAAAATTTATAAGATTCATTGGAAAAGATATTATATATATATTTATTTTACAATTGTTTGCAAATAAATTAATATTAAATAATACATTGTTAGAAATATCGTACTATATATTTTAAATTTAAAAATACCTTGTACAAAAGTTTGTACAATTATTGTACAATGCATTCAGATTGTGGTATTTCTGTTTGTAAAATGGGTGGAAACTTATTCCGCGCGCGAGATATAAAAAATGCTTTTTTTTTATTATTGCTATTAACCCGAATTTTATTAACGCAGTGCCGATCTTTAGGCGGATCGGCAATTAAGTAAATTAAAACGTTAATTACTTATAGCTAATTATCCTATTCAGCTCTCAAGTTTTTATTTATTTTTTTTTTTTGAGCGGAGCTATTTAAGTTTATTTCAGAACTTAAAGGCTTTCTTAAGGCAACACGCCTTTCACTTAGAACTTCTTCATAGTTTGAAAACGTGAACACCCTTTGTAAGCTTCATTTTGCTAGTTTAACATTGTAGCATAGTAGAAGGAGTAAAAATAACAAAAGCTTGATTGATGTACACAATGTAACAACCTATTCGAAGTCACAAAGCGGATAAGTCAGGTTACTTGTTTAATCAATTTTACAAACAGAAAATCAAAAGTGCGAATATGGTATCTACCAAAAAATTTTTTCGTAAATCGTTAACCTTTTCTAAGGTAATAAGTTCTATTAACTTTGTTTTGTTTTAATATTGAGGTCAAAAAATTTTTCCAACTGATTATTATAAATTTTTGTCCGGAATTAAAATTAATTTGGCTAAAATTAATAACAGATAAACATTATTTGGCTGAAATCGTTGTATTAGTTATTTACTATGCTAATAGTAAATAACTTTTTTTTTATCGCCTTTTTCAATGCGACCCCTAATTATGTAACTAGAATTTGATTTCCTCATTTTTTTCAATTACTTCTAATAAAAGTTTCTTGTTAAGTTTATTTCTCACGAATTTCCCATGATTTTATAAACTTTTTATGACAAACTATACAATTGCAAGGTTATAAGAATGATGTTTACCAGGTTTTCAAGTTATGAAATTTTACAGATTTCCTTCGATTTTCTTTTTATTCAAAAGTTATACTTTCGAAAAAAACATTATTTTTATTTAATTATATAATCTAAACAAATGTTAATTAAGTATTTTTCGTTATATTTTAATAGGTTTAAGTTTAATAAATAAACCATAATTTATGCTTTAATTAATATTATCAGTTATCTGTTATGTATATTTGAATGGTTATAACTTATAACCATGTATAGTCATGTTAGATTAAGATAATGAAATATAGGACAAGCTTTGTTTGTTCTTTTAGAATATTAAAAATTATTCAAATTGAATCGCAGGAAACATAGTTATTAAATTTTAATATTTACTTTTTTTCTTTTATTTTTAACCACGTGATACAGCTATAAATGTTGATAATCACGTGAAAAATACGATTAAAATTAGGGAGGTCGCACTAAATTGAAAACAGCGATAAATCATAATTCATTCTATTTTCCATTTATAATCAATGATTTACATAAATTGCGCCTACTTGCATTTTTTTTAAAAAAAAGCTTCGCTTTCTTTTAAACTCCTTACGTTCCTTCGTTTTGTTTCTTTGATAGAAGATTATAATATTAGTTGAATCATGTCGTATAAATTTGAATCTGATGTCATAAAAGCGCTTGAAGAAATACTTAAAACTGAAACAGATTATAATGTTATTCTTCAAGTTGGAAAAGAACATGATTTTAAGGAATTTCATTTACACTCTATTATCTTACGCTTTAGATCCGAATATTTTAACGAAATACTATCTTCTGAAAATATAGAGAAGAAAGATGGAAAATATATAATTAAGAAACAAAATATTACTCCCCAAGCTTTTGATGCTATCCTTAAGTAAGTTAATTCAAATTCCTGTACGAAATATAAGAATTAAATTTGTTTATACATGTTTAATTTTTTTTATTAACAAGGTATCTTTATACTGGTCATATTAATATCAATAATAAAACCGGAACTGAGCTTTTGGATATTATGATCGTCTCCGATGAACTGAAGTTGAAACAATTAACTAAAATTACCGAAGACTTTATTGTTGAAAATTACCAACAATTCTTACAAAATGATCCAGTTGGAATTCTTCAAATTGTTTATTATAATAAATCACTTGTTAATCTACAAGAATTTTGCTTGGAGACAATTTGTTCTGATCCTAAAATTTTGTTCAATTCCGATAAGTTTATTAATTTACCCGCCCCTTTATTAGAAGTCATTTTAAAACGAGATGATTTGAATTTAGCCGAAATTGAAGTTTGGGAAAATTTAATCAAATGGGGACTAGCCCAAGAAAAAACTCTTGGTCAAGATGTTACTAAATGGAATCAAGAAAATTTTAACCATTTTCAAAGAATTCTTTATAAATTTATTCCTTTAATTAGATTTTATGAAATATCATCCGATGATTATTTCAACAAGGTTAAACCTTATAAAAAGGTTTTATCAAAGGAATTAAGAGATGATATTTTAAAGTTTCATATGGTTTCTGGATATACACCAACTCTCAAAGTTTCACCGAGACGTCCCAAGAATCAATTCGATTCTGTTTTAATTAATCAAAATATTCAGGATTATTTAGTGCTTTTTGCAAATTGGATTGATAAAAAAAAGGAAAATAACAAGTATACTACTGAAACCATTCCTTACGAATTTAATCTCTTATACAGGGCTAGCAGGGATGGTAATACAACAAAAGCATTTCATGATAAATGTGATAATAAAGGAGCAACTATAGTAATAGTAAAAATTAATGGGACAGAGCAAATAGTTGGTGGGTATAATCCATTTGATTGGGAATCAGCAGACGGTAAAGAGAAAAGTACGAGAGACAGTTTTATATTCTCATTTACAGATAGAAATAACGTAAAAACTGCAAAAGCAGGCTATAGTAATGGTCAAAGTTCTATAGGTTGTTACACACAACATGGACCAGTGTTTGGCAGTTTTTTTTTTCATGCCAGAGATGGTACTTTTTGGAATATTAATAACAATAATTATTCTGATATTGGTATTTCATCAAAAGTTAATGCAAATACAGATGATTATGAAGTTTTTCAAGTTATAAAATAAATCGATACACAGCACGTATAAAAATAATCGAAAAATATTTGTTATAGTTTGAAAATGAAATGTCTTAACTACGACTAAAAAATTAGACTCAATAAAATTAAAATTTATGGTTATAAATGAATGATTCAAGATAATATAGAAAAGATTGTATAATACACAATGGAAAAAAAAATTTGCGCGCTAGTGAAATTGTTTTATAATGGCAACAATAAAAGATTTAAACTATGATTTATACGGCAGTCCTCATAATTAATGATCAAAATATTAGATTAATCATGTGATTTTCTTCAAACATTATGCGGCAACAATAGTTTTTTCGCTCTCTAACAAAGATATTATTCACAAACGGAATTTCACAGCGTAATCTAACATTTCGGTTTTAAATATAAACTAACTTTGATTTTGAAAGTTTTGATACGTTGTAAATTATTTTGATATAAAATCTGCATCAATTTTTCAACAAAGACTTGTTTCATTTCATTAATCTACTGTTGTTCATGATTAAGTTTAGGATTATTGAGTCATCGGCTGTATTTTTATAGTGCTACACACAATTTATTGTAAATTTTCTAATGATAAAACTATTATATTTAATATTCTAAGGATTACAACATCATACTTATAATACATGTGAGGACGTTTTCAAAAGCTGGCAAAACCTATAGCCGGTTGATCTCACTGACCAGTTATCGACTGACATTACCAGTTTTACATAATAAACGCATTTTCAACATATACTGCTATACATAAATACGTCAAAATGTTATTATAATTACTGTAATAAGATTATCGTGTGAATTGCAATCGCTTTTCGGTTAAACTTATATTTGTATTTCACATATATGACAAACGACACGGGATCGTTCGTCTGAATCATTTGTTGATGAATAGTACGTAATCAGAGCATTTAACTGTAAATATTGTGTCATTTGATCGCACCACCCAACTTTAACAAAAAAATAATTTTTTTAAAACAAATTAAATTGATATTCTTATTTAATTTTTAAAAATTACAAAATGATAAAAAAAACCCTTTTTTCATAATAAAACTTGGTGTGAACCAATCATTCCAATTTTATGGAGAAATTCTTGGGGATATTTGAAAGGAAATAAATTAGGAAAGAAATTATTCTTAAACATGATTATTTCACACTTATCAGATGAATCGAGAAATAATCTAAAGAAACAATGCGTTGATTTTATGACAAATCCTTGTCAAGGATCTTTATTTGACTACATTTGTTTTATAGATAGTTAAATTTATATAATTTAAATGAAAATATCAATAGTACTATAGAAGAAATACTTAAACTTTTTATTATTAACGAAAATACTAGAATCAACACCTTTATATACCTTATCATCTTTATCCCTGATATCAAACTCTGCTTTCAGAACTTGAATTTCTCGACTATAGTCTAATATTAATGATAATGTTTTAAATGGATTAATAGAATTATACAATACAATTAAAGAACTAGAACTTATCATTGGAGAAGATAATAATAATTATGAAAATAATGTTCAGTTGCATCATACACGATGTGATGAATTATTTTGCAGATATCTTGAAAATTCATCGGTTAAACATGCAAATTATATACGACATTTTAAGATTTTATCTTTAATAAAATTAAATAGATTAGAATTGGATGCTGCTAGACTTAAAAATGTAACGACAATATATGGGAATTTATCATTACCGTTATTACAAAATTTAAAGCTAGTCGTTAAGCAAGCTTAATTAAAAATACAAATGGATTCTTAAAGAGATGAAAGTTGATTACATAAGAATATCAATAAATGTATCATTCAGAATATTTATCAAAATAGTCCTAATCTGAATTACCTTAAATTATTGATCAGGAATAGCAATTATTGACAATGGTAATAATTATTTTAAACAAATTTCGTTCTGACGAGGCACCTAGATTTGAATCTTTAAAATTATTTCTTGATAATTGGAAAAACAGACACTTTATGTTATTAAAACTATGAACCCAATTATGATGAATATTTAGATTTAACAGAAGAATATAAATAAATCACAAAGAATTGTCAAAAATATAATTTCTAAGATTTTGTATGGATTCAAATAAATGTTAACATGATAAATTTTTTAATATTGGTATGATTTTTTATAACTATGTAAACATTCTATATCATAATAAATAAAATATATTTAAGTGGTATAAAATTAATCCCTAATTTTATAAGACTTAGCAGGACTAAAGAGTAATGGAACGCGGATATTAGGTTATTTAATGCGACGCTAAAGCACAATTGTCCAGAACTAAACCAACAACTTTGTATATTTTCGTAGGTGAATACTTTTTTTCTTTCGTTTTAATCAATCATCCAAATATTTAGTTATATAACTTTTTTTGCGGATGACTAGGAAATAAAGTTATATATTCATCAGAAATAGTCGAAATATGCCATCACATATTTTATACTGTATACGGTTTTCATACTACAGTACTTTCATTCTCCCATCCAGTTCCGTAACTTGCTCGAGTTTTTTTTGTAGTTTGCCCAGTCGGGAGTTTAAGTTTCATTTTACTTAGAACATGAATACACTTGCAAAAATCATATAAATAGCGCTGTCTAAGAGTCCCTCCATTGTTATTACACCTCGAACTCGTATTGATATGACTATGATGAAAAGTACGATTAAAAATATAAATATATTGTCATTGCGATTGTTAAGGACTTTTATATTAGGGATTATTTATATTATGGTATGATGACATCGCATGATTGATAAAAATATGATTGCAGACTATTTAATCGGATTTTATGGATGTTGTCATCAAAGTAATGATAATTTTGGGATATTAGTAATAATTATTATCTTAGTATCGCTAGTATTAGTAATTTGGTATTTCCAACAATCATAGGTGTAAATATAGATGAAGCTTTCGAATTATAAGAAATCAGAAAAAACAAATTAATGAATCTATTTATTTATATTTGATAATGTAATGAAAGTTTCAAAATATACAGTTATTTTATATTCATACAATTTCTCGGGTTATTAGAAACACATGAAAAAATTGCAACACCGTATTATACAAATTATCACTATAATTTCTATTTAGAATTTTTATCAATAATTATTCCGTATTCATTGATTATTATAAAAACCTTTAAATGTCAAAACCAAACTATTTATAATGTATTTAGGGCTTATAAATAAAATTTTTGAAACGATACTTAAAAAAATTCAGAACGTTAAACGTTAGTTTCTATAGCGTAATTAATAATATTTCATCATAACCATCAATCGTTACTACTTAATTTAAATTTGTTATTCGAATAAAATGCATGTGTTTTAGCTTGTCCAATTTAGATGATACTAAAAAAAAATTTTTTTTCCTTCAGTTTATTGTATTGAGAAACTATGTTGATAATTGAACATTGAAATATAAACAACGTTTGTTTAAATTTACATCATAAATATTACTGATAAATATAATCAGAAAATATGCTTAAGGATTGAAATGAAACCCAGCCTTAAATTACAATGATATTAAGGCCTTTTTACGGTTCATAGTGAACGAAACCTCATAGTATAGTAAATAATTGAAAAAATATTTGCACGTTAATGCAATTGTTTTATAATGACGGAGATCACCAAAAAAGCTTATAGTTATAAACATTTTCTCCTAATTTTATATCACAATTAATTATTCAACCTCATTGTTTAAGGCTGCTCCAATTTAACTCTCATAACTAAATCTAATTAAATGTTTATGAATATTAATGAGAGTCTTAAGTTGTACCAGCATCATCTCCAGACCCGACCCGAACAATACTAAGATAACTCCTAATCATTGATTTCGGGTTATATTTATAAGGTAGATTATTTTCACAACAATTGCATTTTTTCCGCATATTCCGCAGCAAATTTAACATTTCAGATAGATAAAATAAATTTTTGACAGGTATAAATTAATTTAATAACAAGTTACTAGTTTGAAAGATTGTCCAATCATTTTCATAATGGTACAAATGTGTTTATTTATCAGCAAAAATCCTTTGTCTCCCGCCATAATTTCAGTATTTTATTTAATTTACTTAATCCAAAAACCCTTGCATTTAACCAAAGTTTGCCCTGTTTAGGATTACTTTTGAACATTCAGAAATGTGATGGTATTTCCATGTAATTACTGCGCTACAAATATTTAATTTTTTCATTTCACAGCATGAAACAGGTCTTGAGTGATCAAGTAAGCTTGTTTTGTAATCACAAATATCGTGAATACTATTTACATAGAATATTATTTAGTAATACAATTGCTAAATTTAATAATTTAAATTTATATAAGAAATAAAATTTTATTATTTGTTTTAATTAATTATTTTTGGCAAAAGTATTTTTTTTTTCTCATAATTCATACTATTCCTAAACTATATAAGTCATTGTAGTTATATTCTACACAAAGGCAAAAATGTTACACGAATAGGACAATCATCCAATTAATTTTGAGTAAATTATATCTAAAAGAAGAATACAAATCTTAATGCACCTAATATCATTTGTGCGACCATATGAATAATTATGTATTTATACTCCGAATTATGAACTTAACCCTATTTTTTAAAAAAATTATATTTATTTTTGAAAACAAAAATGTCTTTTGAATATTCTAAAGATCTTATTAATGATTATGAAAAATTACTTGAAATTGATAAAGGATATGATGTTATTATATACGCTGGTGAAAATGATAATATGAAGGAAATTTATGCTCATTCATTCATATTACGCATTAGGTCACAATATTTTCGTGCGGCATTCTCTAATGAATGGGCTATTAAAAAAGATGGAAAATTTATTTTTAAAAAACCTAACGTTTCTCCTCAAATATTTAAAATTGTTTTAAGGTAATGTATAAAAAAAAAAAATTTAACATTTGTTATTTTAAAAATTATAATATTTTTTTTTTTTAAAAAAAAAAAATTATTATTATTATTTAGATTTATTTATTGTGGAAAAGTTGATTTAAAAAATTTAAAAAATCCAGAATTATTGAATCTTTTAGTCGCTGTGGATGAACTCAATATCCAAACATTAATCCCTTGTATTCAAGATTATTTAATTAATCATCAACATGAAATTTTGCAACAAAATCCCGTTGAAATTCTTGAAATTGTACATTCAGTTCATCAATGTGATACTTTCTCAAGATTATGGGATTATTTTCTTGAAACAATTTGTGATAAACCAGATATATTATTCAATCCTGATAATTTAATTAAGTTAAAAGAACCTTTATTGAAATTCTTATTAAACCGGGATGATTTAATGTTGGATGAAATTGTTATATGGGATAACTTGATCAAATGGAGTTTTACCCAACATCCTACCATTCAACAAGATGTTAATAAATGGAATAATGAAGAAATCGCAATTATGAAAAGTACTTTTCAAGATTTCATTCCTTTAATTAGATTTTATCAAATATCTTCAGAAGATTTTCATTCAAAGGTATACCCTTTCAGAGTATTGCTACCTGAAGATTTGATTGATAACATACTTGCTTTTCATGCAACACCAAATAAAATACTTGATAATAATATACAACCCTCTAGAAATCCAAAATATAATACATATATTGTTAAGTCTCAACATTTTGCTATTTTTTCTAGTTGGATAGAAAAGAAATCCAATTCATATTATAATTTAAAATGTATTCCTTATCATTTTAATTTAATTTATCGTGCTAGTAGAGATGGCTTTACAGCCGAAGCATTTCATGAAAATTGTGATGATATAGGAGCTACTATAACTATAGTAAAAATTAAAGGATCAGAACAAATTTTTGGTGGTTTTAATCCATTTGATTGGGATTTATGTGGTGATTATAAAACTACAAAAAATAGTTTTATATTCTCTTTTATGGATAGAAAGAATATGAAAACTGCGAAAGTTGGTTATAGTAATGGTCGATGTTCTGTAGGTTGTTATCAAGATTATGGTCCAATATTTGGTTATTATCTTTATTATAAAAATACTCATTGGATGGTTAATAATGATTTTTCAAGGAATTATCCTGGTATTAAAATTCCAATATCAGTATTAGAAATTACAAATATTGATGATTATGAAGTTTTTCAAATTGTAAAGAAATCATAAACTGAAAAATATATTAGTCAATTTTTAGTATTGGAAAATTTTTTCAGCAGGTCGTTATATTTTAAAATAGTCTATTTTTCTTATTAATAGTATCTCGTTGTCTGAATTCTTGATCTCCTCTCTCATTCCTTTTAATATTATTTACTTAATTTTTTTACAATTACCTTGTAAGTCTATCAGCGGATTGAGTGTACAGCGAATATTTTTTTCGTTTTTTTTTTTCAGAATTCAATTGTATTATTATATATTGCAAAAAAAAAAGATTTTTCAAATTGAAATCAATCATCGTTTCTATGATCACACGAATTTAATATTCTTTTTTTTATAAATTTTTTTTGGGGAGGTCGTTATTCCAAATATTAAATAAAGTTTAGTATTATAAATTATGTAATAATTATAAAATGTTATTTATATATAACGATTTATTTAATTATTTATTTATTGAGAAATAAAATATTATATTTTAGCTTTGAACTTGTGAAATAATAAGTGAAATTCCTTATAAATATCACAAATTCAAACATATCAATCAAAGTATAAAGAAACAAGATAAATAAAAATAGAAAAAATAATAGTCAAGACCGTTATTTATTTACTAAAAAATCCTATTTTTAAATACTATTTGTTAATAGCCAATTAGGCTAGTGTGAATAATATAGTATTAAAAGATTTAGAATTTAAAGGAAAATCATGTATTTCTAAATAATTTTACTTTTTATGGTTTGCAATAAAAAAGTGCTTAATACAATGAAAAATAAATTGACGTTTTTTATGACGTCGACAACAATAAAGGTTGCTTAATCATTTTTTAATTTAACCTCGGAAAATGGGTATTACTTCGGATAATGGTGGTTATGTAAACTGATAATTTATTACCTGGCTTTTTAAACATGATATGAATTTAATCCTTTTAGGTTAAGTTTACGAAAATTCAGTTTACATTAGTAAAAAATTGACGGAATGTTTATTGTTACTGGGTAACACATTTAAGGGTATGTAGAGTATTCCCTTAAATGAACGACAATGTAAGAATTATGAAAATTTGAGATTTCATTTGCATTTTACAATATTATGATATTGATTCATTTAGATAGTATTATTTTACGCCAATTGGTCGTACAAATATTCTTTTAATCGTTCAGTTGTTTCAATTATTGATTTCCTTCATATTTTATTCATTCTTTTCTTAATTTGTGTAACATTTTAGTTTCCATTATTACCTTCTATGATGAAATATTTTTTACGCCAATCTTAAAAAAAGTACTTCCGTTGGTTGATCATATGCATCTCAATCAAATAAGTAAGTCAATGCATCATCATTATGCATTTTCCCTTCGATAAAGTATTTCTAAATTTAAAACGAACTTTCCATGAGTAAATCCAGAAATACTTTCTGTATCACCGTCGGTATCACCAGCAGAAATTTCCATCCTTTCATTTCAGGTATAAATAAAAATATAAATAAAATACATTCAATTTCCAAATTATTTGTTATCGATATTTAGATATTTATTTATAACATATTTTAGTCATTAATATATTAAAATGGAACTTGTAAATACAAATGAAGAAAATTTTTTTGACCCAACACCAAGGTTGAAATCTAGTCCTATACCAATTAAATTTTATATCTTTTAATAAAGAAGATGAAAAGTGTTTTAATTGTGGAGTAATATATATTAAGGCTCTTTATTATGATCAAAAATGTTGCAAAAAATGTTTTTCGCGTTATATTGATGATATAACTGATAATAATATATACTTGGACATATATTACGAAATAGACTTTAATGAATATGAGAAATACTATGAAAGCCGTTTGAGAATTTTAAGTTTTAATCAAATAGAAGGACGTAAATACTATTATCTGGTTGAAAGTAAAAAACATTGTCAATTATGTGGAAAGTCTCCATCGGAAAGAATTATACGGCGAACTATATTATGCTCAGATTGTTATCTAATTTCTTTTGAATGTGTAAAATCAACCTTGGTTAAAAAACAAATTTTAATTCTTTACTTACCATGGTGGCATAATACTCCTAGTTGCAACATGTGTAGTTCAGAGTTAACATTTACATCACATTGCCAAAAATATTGTACAAATTGTCTTATATTTTATACTGGATGCAGACATTGCTTAACAACAAACATTATTTTTGGACTTACAGGCCAAACTCATTGTAAAAAATGTAAAAGAATATCACTTATTATAGACAACGTCGTAGATAGAGATCCTGATGATTTCCTTTTTAATGATAATATGCATGAAAACTTATGTTTAGACTTTGTAAAAACCATTGATAAATATTTTGAACCATCAACTCTATTAAATTATATTTTTAAAGAAAAAGGTAGAGTAAAACCAGTTAGGTTAATATCATATTCTTAATTTACCATTAACCTATTCTATTATATTTTTAAAGGAAAAGATAGAGTAAAACCAGTTAAGTGGATACCATATTCTCAATTTAAAGATGTAAAAGAAATGACGAAAGGAGGATATGGTATTATATATAAAGCAACTTGGTTAATTTATAATGAAACTGTCATTTTAAAAAGATTTGAAAATTCTAAAAATAATAATAAATATTTCTTAAATGAGGTGAATATTTTAAAAACTTGCGTAAGTAATTTATTAAATAATTTAGTCTTTAATCTCTGATATTAAATCATAAAATTTTATAGTTAAGATCAAATCAACATTGTTTTAATCGAACATTCTATGACTATATTATTAAAATTTATGGATTTACAAAAGATCCTGAATTAGAAGATTATATATTAGTTATGAAATATGCGTCGAAAGGAGATTTACATAAGTATTTACAAAAGAATTTTACAAATCTTACGTGGAATAATAATAATAATACAGTATTACTTATTTTACAAGATATTTCAATGGGGTACTTATATTTTTTAATGTATTCATTATATTTTCAAAATTTAAGCTATTAACCTTTTTTTTATTTAGGCTTGAATATATTCATAATAATGAATTTATACATCGAGATTTCCACAGCGGAAATATATTATTAGATTTTTCATGGAAAATTGGGGATCTGGGATTATCACAATCTGTAAAAAATGAATCATCAAATAATGAAATATATGGAGTTATACCTTATATTGCACCAGAAATATTTAAAGGGTCTGCATTTTCTAAAGAAGCTGATATTTATAGTTTGGGTATGATTATGTGGGAACTTACAACAGGTTGTAAACCTTTTGCTAATGTTGAACATGATATTCATCTTATTTATAAAATTCTTGATGGAGAACGTCCCAAAATTACAGAAGATACGCCAGAATGTTATGCTAATATAATGAAAAGTTGTTGGGATCCTGATCCCAAAAAAAGGCCTTCTATGAAAGAAATATGTTTGACAGTTGATAATTGGTATTTTAGAGGTAAAAATGATGCAGAATTTAATCAAGCTGAGGAAAAAAGAGAAAACCTGATAGAATCAAAGAAAATTGGACCTGAATTTGCTGAAAAATGCCACCCGGAAGCCATTTATACAAGTAGACCATTAAGCGATTTAATTTCTAAATGTTCATCCATTAATTCATTCTCAACAATTTCATTTGGTAATAAACAAGGTATTACTAGAAAATAATTAATTAAATTAATTGTAACTAAAAATACTATATTAAGTAATCTTTAAAATGAATTTTATTTAGATTACAATTATATTTCGAAAGAAGAAGAGCTTGATATAATAATAGACATTGAAAGGTATTTGCAATTATCAGTTATGTTTTTAAATGTATTGTACCACGTACTGGTTAATTAATATTAATTATTATTTAGTTTATCATCAAAAAATTTAACAATTCAAAATTCAACCTCTTTAAAAAAGCGAAACATTGAAGAATTAAACCTTGAAACATATGACGATAGTGGTAAATATTAATTTGGCTTGATGATGATGTTTATTTTTATTTTTATTCTTTTTTTTTGATGTTAATATTTTTCTTTTTCATTTTAAAAAAAGTAGGAAAACGTATTAAAACTACTGGGTAAACTAAGGGTTTACAGTATATTCACAAAGGTTAAATTTTTGTAGTAGAAAAAATCATATATCAGGCTTTTTTTAAGTATATTATATATATTATATCAATTTATAATAAATATCATTTATTTTTTATTTTTAAGAAATACAATTTATTGTTTTTTAAATGAATTAAACAAATATTTATAAACTTGGTGAAATATGCAACAACAAATTTCGACTCATCCACCGTTAACGGTATAAGAAACGCTGTGATATACGTGGCACTTTTTTTTTTTTGTTTTACAAAATTGAAAATTTATTACTTTATTAAAGCGCTTAAGCGTCGGAATACAAAGCGCTTGAATTTAATTAATTCTCATTATTTACGAACTAATTTTCTGAATAAATACTACTAAATCCGCCACTCCCAATATACTTACCCATTTCAACTTTCAAGTGTTTCAGATGGAATCCATATAATTTAATTAAATTATTTCAAGTTGGTAATCATAATTTACAATTATTTTATTATTATTTTTTTTAACTTGAATTAGAAAATAGGCGAAGATATTTTTTGGACTTTTAGTTGCTTCTTATGAATTTATTTATTTATTTATTTTATGTAGAGTAAGGAGAAATACAATGAAAATCACATCACTATTCTAACGAATAAAATATTGGAAACCATTATAAAACTTCGTCCAAACAACGATAAAAATCCCTGGAGCGGACCTTTACTGGAATTAAAAAGAAAACTACCCGGGACTCCGACCAAGCCAGGATAGGATTAGTTGCTTCTTATGAATTACTCCTTGAAGAATTATTCAATTTTATTAAGGATCATGCACGTGATCCGCAGAAATTCGACAGATTTAATACTGGCAGGTACAGATGACAGTTACCCGCACTATATTTCTGGATGGAGAATAGACGGATCGTAACACTACAACTTGGATTTAGGAAAATTTTTATTTCGTTTTTCATAATTGCGAGATGATCTGCAATTTTAAAAATTGGGATCGTTTAAGTTTAAATTCCTGGTTTAAGAAAACATTTATAAAATCAAATGAAATTAATGAGGATTATGAGAACTTTTTATTATTTAGAGTAGCTTTATTTGATTGAATATTTGCATTAAATTTTTATTAGAGAAAAATATTTTTCTTTCAGAATTACGTCATTAAATTCATACTGTCTGTTGTGTGTAATATCGTAATATTTGCCGTCAAGATTTAATTAAATAAAACACGATTCATTATTAAAAATATAATTTTTTTTTTACAAAGAGAACAAAAATTATTTAAGCGAAGGGGAAAAGGAAATTTGCTACTTGTATCATTTACATCATAGTATTTACATATTATCAAAAAATTTCCATCGACTATTATTGTATAAAGTAAATAATTGTATAAAGTAAATATAATAAAAATCAATAACCGCCTCTTTTTCTGAAACTATGAAAGATATAAAAGTTCCAGGTCCGTTTTTGTAACTTTGCTCTTAAAGTTGTGTCTACCGCCTTCTTGGATTATCTTGTTATAGACTCACGGACGGGCGCCAAAAGTCAACGAAATTATTATCTCATCGCCTCCCTCAAATAATAATGTTTCTTTTTTTTAGATTATTAGCTGGAAGTAATTTGAATACAGGCATATGTTATTTCATTTCAGTTTAACAAATGCTCTTCGACACTTTCACCGTCAAATAAGATCATCTTATTATTTGTCGCCGATATTTTTTTTTATTATAAAAGAATTCTTAAAAAAAAAAAAACGTTTTCTTTCTTCATAGAGTGAATTTTAAAATCGGAATTATTTTTCTTTCGTGTATATATAAAGTGTATATTAAACGTTAAAATTATTTAATTTTATCGTATCTTTTCTACCAACGATATCATGATGTGAATGTAAATGAAAAGAATGTCATTAAAATTTTTTTTTTTTTTTTTTTTTTTTTTTACAATTGCGTTATATATTACATCATAAAAATTGTGGTATACGCTTTTCCTAAAGATATTTAGCAGCTTAATATCTTTTAATATCTGTACCTTAGATTTTGAATTATTAGACCAATACTTTTAAGGTAAGTACTGTGTTTATTTTATCATGCAATTGGTTCAAAGTTATTATCTTAGTGGAATTTACTTTTTTTGAAAGGAGGGTGTGTTACCGTTACATAATTATTTTAGGGTTTTGATAGGAAAATCTAACCCACTTTTTTAAACATATTTATTTTTTATTAGCGTTTCAAATTTTTTTTTTTTTTAAAAAAAAAAACAAATAAAAAGTAATATGATCATGAACCTTATTTAATGACAGAAAAACTTAAAAATTACACAAAAACGTTTGATAAACCAATAAAATTAAAATTCTTTTTTCAGATCAAATCCAATTTAGTAATTGATTACAAAATATTTATAAAATCATTTGAATAACACAAATAATAATATTTTATTTATACTAATTATTATTTTAAAATATTACAAGTTTAAATTGTATTGTTCTTCCAAAAGAAGCATTAATTTAGAAATTTAGTAATTATAATTATAACTTTTTTGGTGTTTTCATGAGAAAAAATGAAATTTTTTTTTAATTTAACCATATTTTCTGAAACGATATAATTTCATGTTTAAATATTTTACATGATAAAAGATTATTTTATGTTCAACATTTCTATAATTATCTTAATTATAAAATTATCTTTATGATATCTTTATTTACAAATTGTTTAAATGAATTTACAAATTTGGTACTCCTCAGCCGTTATATCCGTAAGATGAAATTCTATATTTCGACCTTATTTTTACTTTCTATTGTTTCAATCAAAAACTTAATTATTAATAATATTCATATTTTTGATTTATAATCTTCTTTTTTGATTAATAATATAAAATTACAAATAATGTTTACGATCTTGAACATTCGTTATCCGATTCGAACAAAAAAAATATGGATGAATTTGAATGACGGATGAATTGATAATCCGCAATAATATATAAAAATTGTTTTAATGACAATAAAATTTCAATTTAATTTGAACATTTTTTTTTTTGTGTACATGTTAACGAAAATTAACAAATATTCAAAGTTCTAAAATGGTACAAATGAAACAGAGAAGGAGGTAGCACATATCTGGTATGACGTTATGTTTAATTCCTTAATAGTTTTACAAAATATATTGATTGCTTTTATGGAATAAGATTTTTTTGCCGATCTTGCGAAATAACTGTCAGTGAGCGATGAATACGAAGATGTAAAAAATAAAAAGTATTTATTAAAGCATAAAGCAAATCACATGACAGATTATGTCATATGAATCCTAAACTTCCATCTTGGACAATCTGAATTATGAAGAATGGTATAATACAAGAAAAGATAATTATAAGAGCCGAGTGTTATCTGTAAACATTTAACATTTAAAGAAAAACAGGGGTCTGGCTCATTTCACCAACAATCATTTCACCGAAAATTATCTTACCAACGGACGTTACAGTCATTTCACCGACAATTTTGAAATCCTAATCCACTAATCCTAACCTTATCCTAATCCTAATCCCAACCCAAATTCCTAATCCACATCCTAATTTTCTTACCTAATCCTAAATTCCCTTGTCGGTGAGACGATTGTCGGTGAAACATTTGTCGGCGAAATGACCCTGTCGGTGAAATGAATGCGACCCAAAATAGGACAGTGAAATGACTGAAACATAATTCCAGAATACTAATTTCTTTGAAGTTTTTTTTATGAATTTTTTTTTTATACATAAATAATTGAACATTTTTGTCGGTATGAAGCAACCAATTTTGTAATATTCGTAACGTACAATTGTCATAGGTAGAAGTCAAAAAAATTCAGCTTAAATTAAAGAATTTGAGATAAATCATCACAATTAAAATAAAGAAAATGGTGAAATTAATAACTTATTTTATTATTATATTTTATATATTATAATATTTTTACTGTAACCCTATAAAAAATTTTCTGATAAATGATCATTTTTCTAGTTTATATTCTTAAAAAACTCTGACATATGATAAAAAATTTTTATAGGATAGTCACATTTTTACGAAATCTATTGTAAAAAAAAATTTCCTTAAATATTAACTTTTATAAACTTTTAGCGTTCTGATTGAAAACTATTACAATGAAATTCTATAAATTCAAAAAGAAAAAAAAACATAGTAAATTCATAATAAATTGATTATCTCATTGGAAATGATTTTTAACCAACCGGTTTGCGTAAACCATTCCCATAATTTACTTGATCTATTGACATCTATTGGAAGATGTCTTTGTGCATCACTGTTATGAAATGGGAATGATCGTTGCAAATAACCTCTTGCAGATGAATTTATAGGTTAAATATTGAAGAGGTGCAAGACGTAAAGAACTAATTTTTTAGTGAGATAACAATTTCTATAGACAAAAGGTTTCCCTTTCCATGTGATGTTTGGTGTTATATATTTTAGTATATCCAAATCAATATACACAAACATAGGAATAAGATTCGTCATAGCTCTATAGAAACTGTCTTTTTCATATATACGAAACATCAAATGTGATGATGACATTGATGACATCATAATAAGAATTTTGTATAAATTCAAATTATTTTTGTTCTTTACGTCAAAGGACATTTAATTTAATGTTATTTTTTTAATTTTCATAATTTTCATAATTTTTTTTATAATTTTTTTTCGTATTTTTTAATCTTAAAATTTTTCATGAATTTATTGATTTTTTTTTAATTAAAGTTTGTTTCATTTTTAATTTCCAATGGATGATTATTTCTAGTATCTCTGGTGGTGCATCGCAAATTCTTTCTCATTCTATATTTTGATTTAATGTAAAGAATTTTGGAAATATTCAAGACCATTTTCGTTAATAGTCGATGGCCGTGGTGAAGCCGTGAAGGAAATTGTGTAAAAGATTCGATAACTTTAATATCAATAAGAACAGAAAATTGAGAATAATTGAAATAATTGGTTTATTTTTTAGAAAATTTTTTTTTCTTTGTTAAGTTTTTTTTTAAAAAAAAAATTTTTTTTGAGAGGGGGATTTTTTTTTAAAGAATGGATACTTTTTGCATGTCGTTTATATATGGAATTTTCGGAGTTAAGGTAAAATTGTATCCGATTTGCATATCGTTTATACATGTGGAATATCGGAGTTAGGATAAGATTGTATCCGATTGAGCTGATGAAAAAGAATACCTTTTTTGTATAACTGTATGTATATACTGTATGTAAATTCAAAATTCGGTATATACACATATATATCCATATCCATATATATTGTAAAAAAAGTTTTCTTTGTTTATTAATATTTGAACGAAAGTACAATTGCTCTATTATTACGTCAATCGTCATACATAAAATTTGATGTGTACATTATATCGACATTGATTGAACGTAATTAAAAATTATAAGATCGGGTATCGGTAATGTATTAATTCAATACTTCAAATTTTGTAATAGGTATCGAACATATATCGCGAATAATATAAAAATTACTCGGTTTGTAAAAAAAGGGAAGGAGGAAGATCCGATCATAAAAAAGCACGTGTGTAATTTTTACAATCACGCTAAATATGGGAATTCAATATTTGATTAACTTAGCTTTATTATAAATCAGTGTCTTACCGAGTGCTGAACTAAAGGAGAATATATATATATATATATATATAAATATAAATGGCGCTTTTGTATGCTGTGCTGAAACTGTTCCAAAACTCTTCTGATCCTAAAGAAAAACATGAAAAAAAAATTAAAAAAAAAAATAGAAAAAAAAAAATAAAAAAAATCTGGTTCTGAAAAAGATAAAAAAAAAAAAATCTGGAGTAAAAATGAATATTTTTAAAATAATATTTTTTAATAAAAAAAAAGAATCATAAAAAAATTAATTAAGTTAAAAAAACTGAAAAAAAATAATTTGGTAAATTAAAATTTAATAAAAATAATTAAATAATTTGGTTCAAAAAACCAAAAAGAAAATAATATTAAAAAATAATTTGGTTTATTAAAATTTAATAAAAATAACTAAATAATTCGGTTCAATTAAACCAAAAAAGAAATAAATTTTAAAAATAAAGAAAAAAAAATAAACAAATAATATTAATAATAAATTAATATTATTAAAAATTAATATCATTATTTAATATTATTCTTTGTAAAATAATATTTCTATTACTGAAACGGAAACCTCCTTAAAAAATTTTCAAATTCTGAAACCTTATAAACAAAAAAAAATTCTTACCTATTATTAATCTATTTTTGATTCAAAAGAACAATAAATAAATTTATTCAAAAAAAAAAAACTTTTGGTTCAAAAAAACCAAAAGATAATATTAAAATAAAATTTTTGATTCAAAAGCTAAAAAAATAAATGTTTGAAAAAATCATTTTGTTTCAACAAACTGAAAAAAATAGTTTTAAATTAATAAATAATAGAAAATAATAAAAAAAAAATCCCAAAAAAATATTCCGGTTTTGGAAAAATTATTATATTTTTTAGTAATTTTTATAATTTTATGAATTTTGAACGTGGATTATTAAAGTGTTACTGAAATTTTATTTTAATTTCATCTGTTCTCCTTTTAAATCCAAACTTTCCCATTTTTAAACAACAACCGATCAAGTAATCTTAATAAATATTTTAACAAATAAGAATAAAAAGAATTTTTTTTCGATAATTATTGTAAATATTAATATTCTATACCGGTATTGGAAATTTAAATATTTTATGTAGAATTGATGAAATGCCTAAATTTCTTCATGTCCACTATTTAATTAGATTATTGAGACTGACTTTTTATTAAATAATTTCAAGAATTTCATATTTTGGTATAATTCATAATAAAAGATTTTTATAATATCATATAATCATTTATTATTTCTTAGGTCCCTAAAAATAGTAATAATGATGATGAACATGTTATTCGCATAGTAGTCCGACATTTGATATTAGAGTCGGGAATGATAGCATATACACTTATTCTATACACAATTTATCAATTTAGCTGTTTATGAATTATTATATAATAAATATATTTATATTTAAAAAAATTATTCTTAGAATATTAATAAATAGTTGAAATAAGTTAAGAAAATGACAAAATAATCTTACATTTTTTTTCTCATTTCTTATATTTGAAAATATAATGAAACTATTAGTTTAAATAAAGTCCAACGAGCAAAATCACGAAGAATCTTATAACATGTGTAGCGCTTTAAGAAATTATATTTTTTGAAAAGAAATATTACCATTTTATTTCTTGAATTTATGAGTATAAAACGGGTAGCTAAAAAAAAAAGATACCATATTCGCGGATTTCATATTTCATCTGATCTCTAGTTCTCTATTAGAGGTAAAATGTAAAATTAATAAATCAATCGTAAGAAAAAGAATTAAAGTAATTGACAGTAAAAAGCATATCGATATACTTACTCCTCCATGTGATTATCTATCATATGAAAATCATTTCATTTCGGTCAAATTATTACCCGAAGTTCAATCACAGTCGTACAAAAATCAAGTTAGGAATAAATAAATGTCCGAAATAATATTCATTTGTTCATTGAAATAAAATTCTTTTTTCTTTTATTAAAAATGTCTCAAGAATTTTTTCAAGAAGTTGTTAACGATTTGGAAAAATTGCTTACAACTGAAAAAGGATATGACGTTATTATCTACGCTGGTGAAAATGAAAATATAAAAGAATTACATGCGCATTCAAATATTTTATGTACAAGGTCACAATATTTTAATACTGCATTCTCTCATGAATGGGCTGAAAAAAAGGATGGAAAATTTATTTTTAAGAAACCTAACGTTTCACCTCAATTATTTAAAATTATTCTAAGGTAATGTATATAGTGATAAATTTTTTTAAAAAATAAGCGTCGTAATAAATATTTTTTTTAATTATTTAGATTTATTTATTGTGGAAAAATTGATTTGAAGGAATTACAAGGTCCTGAAGTGTTAAAACTTTTGATTGTGGTGGATGAGCTTAATATTCAATCTTTAATCTCTTATATTCAAAACTATTTGATCAAAAATCAAGATGAGTTTTTACAGCAGGATCCTAGAGGAATTCTTGAAGCAGTTTATCAACATGAATCATTCACGGATTTGTGGAATTATTGTCTTGAAAAAATTTGTCAAGAACCAAAAATATTGTTTGAATCTGATAAATTTACTAGTTTAAAAGCACCCTTATTAAAATTACTTTTAGAGAAAGATGATTTAGGATTGGACGAAATTTTCATTTGGGATAGTTTATTAAAATGGGGTCTTGCCCAAAATCCTTCTATTTCAAAAGATATCACAAAATGGAACAAGGAGGATATTACAATTATGGAGAGAACTCTTCATGGATTTATTCCATTAGTAAGATTTTATCATATTTCTTCAGATGATTTTCTTGATAAAATATATCCTTTTAAAAAATTATTACCAAAAGATTTAGCTAAAGACCTGGTGAAATTTTATATTGCACCGAATAGGAAACCAAATATTGTCGAAATTCAGCCTCCTAGAATATCAAAGCATATTTGTGATTATGATTCAATTTTAATTAAGAATCATCATTTTGCTGTTTTTGCTAGTTGGATTGATAAGAAAAATAATTTACTACATTATAACATGAAGAATATTCCTTATAATTTTGATTTACTTTATCGTGTTAGTAGAGATAGTAATACACCAGCAACATATCATGCTAAATGCGATAACAAGGGGCCCACCATAGTCGTAGTAAAAATCTCAAATTCAGAAAAAATAGTTGGGGGGTATAATCCACTCATTTGGATTTCAACAAATCAAGTTAAATCTACAAACGATAGTTTTATATACTTATTTACTGATGGGATAGATACAAAAAGTGCAAAAGTAAGTTACAGTAACGGTGATAATTATTCCATAAGAAATTTAGCTCCATATGGTCCAGGATTTGGTCAAGGTTCAGACTTAATATGTCGCAATGATGGTCAGTGCTACAGCTTTCCATCAAATTCTTATCCTAAAATTGATGGTATTCCGGGAGGAATATTCCCTATAGATGATTATGAAGTTTTTGAAGTCATTAAAAAATAAATAAATTCATATTTACATAATGTAGGTTAATAGAATTCTATTAAATATATTGAGTTATTTGGATATTGAATAACTTATTATACTTCAAATAAACTTGCCATCTTTTAGTTTTAAAAAATATATTAAATAAAAATTAAATCAATTTGACGATAAATATTAATATATACTTATAATTTTTCTTTATAAATTACCAGTATTGATATTTACATGGATAGATCTTTCAGTCTCTAATAATAAAGCATTCAATGAAATTTTCTTTAAAATATGATGAACTGCAATTCAACTTTTTTTATAAATAATAACAGGAAATAGTATAATACAAAATTCAACGTGAGCAAATTAAAAGGCTAACCTTTATATAGTTAGCAATTGAACATTTATAATTTTTATATTAGTCGTTAAAAGACTAAATTTAGTTAAAATAATTTCATAAAAAATGACGTGTAGATAATTTACGTCATATTACAATACAATCAGACAATTATTTAACAGCTAATATGTTGGAATTATCATATACAGTATTTTAATTTAAAATCACTAATGCGAAATCTACTACTTGTGCGCCTAATTATTACAATTCTTTATTGCACCTTTTAATAAATAAAGTAAAATTGCGGTTGTATCTTTAAATTACTCTCGATTTACACTTTACAGATAATCAGATTAATATACCGAATATTAATTATTTTTATTGGCAATTAATGAATTCTAAAATTAAAATAGATAATAGATGAAATTTAAAAAGTGAGCTTTTATACAGATCTTAGTATCTTTCTTTACAAAATGAGTACTATTATTTTTTATCAATACACGAAGTAACGACTAAATGACCTCACAATATACGATAAATCATAAAACGGTAAAGATATTAAATTATTTAATACATATTGTCATACATTCACAGTTAATCAAGACTCATCTTAATACAAATATGTATTAAGAAAGACCATTTTCTTATCTTCTTCTATTCTCATTCCCTTTTTTAACTGTCTTCTCCTCTATTCAATAAACTAATTTTTTAAATCATTCCAAAACCAACCAGCTCTTACATTACCACCTGTACAAATGGCACCATGATGCCAACAAATGTAATAAAACAAGTTACCTGAGGATCCTACCCAAGAATAATATTTTTTGTGGCGCAGCAATGTTGAATAAAATTTTTAGTACGTGTTCGACCTAAAAAAAATCCAAAAATTTTATACAAGGCCCGACTGAAAATGCAACCGACCCTATAAAAAAAAATCTGGAAAAACCACCGATAAATGATCATTTTTCTAGTTTTTTATTCCGAAGAAACTCAGACACGTGATCATTTTTCTGAAAAATTTTTTATTAGGGCGAACGGAAATGAAAAGGCTAATAAATTCAAGAAGTAATTTTTTTTTTTTGGAGGAGCAAAAAAAAATCCAAAAATTAACCAATCAAAATTAGCGATTTCTATCCTATTTCGCTACTGGACCAAAAAGAAAAAAGATTCTTTTTTTAGTTTTACTATTGATTCAACACAATGTTCTATAAATTTTTGAAATTTTATAAATTTATCATTTGTAAATGGAATTTTAAAAATATACAAAGTGGTCACGAATTAAATAAATTACGTAACTCGTAATTCATTTCAGAATACATAATAAAAAAAAATAATTCCGATTTTTTATCGGAATCAGAAATAACATAACTTTGTTGAACAAATAAATTTCTAATTTCTACGATCAACATTACGTTTAAAAGGGATTGAAATTTCCGAATTCCCGATGTTGCACATAAAAATAGCGTGATAAAATGATTCACAGCCACCTTAAAAAAAAAAAAAAGGTATTAATGACTCCGACAATTATAATGACAAAAATAGAATAAGTTTAACTTTTATGTTTATTATAAGACAATTGAAAATAATAATACATAATAAATACATCAAATATAATGAATGGATTATTTTTTTAACAAAGAAAAAATCAATTCTTTTTTTCCTTTGTTAGAAGTTTTAAAATTAAAATGACTATTGTTGCCTTATTTAGAACAAAATCAAATGGCGTTAAAATGCATCATGCATAATTTACCAGCAAAGTTTTATTATTCTTATTATAAGGCTAAGTAAATAAATTTTTCGTTTCTCATGGATCATATAAATGTTACAAAAAAGAAAAAAAAATCCATTTTTTTAGTCATGTGACACCGGTTGGTTGTAAAAAATTTTTTTGAACCAAAAATTTTTTTTATATATATTTATTATATATTAACATCAAAAAATTCTCCTCTAACGGAATCTCTCCTACTTTTGTTTTTAATAAAAATTTATGATAATCTTTATTAATAAAAGCTTCAGGTGAAACTTGCCCAATAGCTAGTGAATGAAAAAAATTCGCATCATTTGCCATTTAAGTAATTCTTTTCTATCACTTAATACAAAACTTACACTTACAGAAGGCGTTTTTTGATATATAGAAAAGAAAAACTATAAATTTTTATTAAAAAAAAAAACCAAAAAGAACTATAAAATTTTTGTTAAAAAAAAAAGAAAAAAAAATTATAAATTTTTTTGCCCGAGTCGCCTAATGGAAAAAAAATTATCAAAAGTAATATAAATTTTTCGTCCCGGTCGCCGGGTGAAAAAAAATTTATTTTATTAACCGGCCAATCAACATTTAGAAATTTGCCTAAATTTTTTTTTTTACTGTAAAATAATTTTTTTAAAATAATTTTTTTTTTCCGGACGACCGGGTCAGATTTGGGAATTATTATTTTTCATGAGAAACGAAAAATTTTATTTACTTGGCCTAATAAATGTATGAATTTCTAATTAATACTAATCATAATTATAAAATACATTGATCTCAATTTAAATTAAAATTATATTTTGTTATTTCTGAAACAAAAGAAGAAAGTGAGTATACTTTCTGTCTAGTTTGTGAGGCATGTGAAAGAATATTAACCAGTTTTGTAGATCATGCAAAAAACGAGATAATTAAACAACGCTAATTAACATGTCAATATCGCATGATCAACGTAATACAGTATATAATGTATTATTATAAATAAAGAATTGTTAAATTTTTAAGAACTTTACGACTCAGATTCCGGATTTCACTATCCGCTAGTAAAAATCTAGAGTAACAATGACTAACTATTTTAGTACTAAATTTCGGCTGAATTATGTCTCACATTTTGATATATAAAGAAGCGTTTTTCTTTTACTTGATTTTTTTTTTTTTACAAATATTAATTGAATCATGTCTAGATTTAAAATAATTTACACGATATTATTGCTTTTGGCTTTAAGTTTGTTTTTTGGGATATTTTTCGGCCTAGGATATCCTGAAATACAAAAAGCTAATTATATTTCAACGTATTGTACGATTGATGATAAAACAATATCATCAAAGTATTGTTGTTATAAGAAATGTAATTATTGCAATACAGCAAATGCGGTTGCTCCTATATGTACAGATCTTAAATCCCAGTGGAATTTATTATCACCCGAAACGTGTGCCAGTGCAGTATTAGCAAATAGTTCGCTATCAAATGTTTGTCCAATCAATGATTTAAAAGGAGAATGTGATGATGGATATTATTGTTGTTCAAAATGTTGTTCTACCTGTACTTCTTGTTCAAATAGTTGTTCAAGCCCAGGCTCCAGCTCATCTTGTAGTACTTCTTGTGTCTCATATTCTTGTAATTGTAGTTGTTGTAACAGTACATATCATCGTTCTTGTCAGATAATATGTCCTACTTGTTACTCAGCTGTGCTCACGATGTCATATCAGAAAGATGATAAATCGTCTTACATACCAATAACAACAAATATTACTGTAGAGTACCGTGAAAACCTAAATGGCGCAGAACAATTTCTTGCTAAATATCCTATTTCATCTACGATTCAGTGTTTTTATAGTCCTAAAGATCCTTTTAAAGTATTACTAAACGTACAATTAACGGTAAAAACTTGGGTTGCAGTAGGCATAACTGCTTCGTTTCTTACAATTATACTTATGTATGGAACATGGTATTTATTTAGTAAAAACGCTACTATATTCAAGGATTACAAATATAGGGTATTAATAATGGAAATTGCACTATGGTGTGGAACAATTATTCCACCTTTACTCATCTTAATAGATTTAATACCATTTACAAATGGAAAAATTCTTTGGACATTAGCTGTAATTTTTATTGCACTAGGGTGGGCACCTATACATACCATTACTTGTATGAAAACACGTGGTTGGAGATTTATTTCTGCGTTTGCAGTAACTATTATCACATTTATTTTACCTCTCACAATATTTTCTACATTCTCTATTTATACGCTTAATATGAATTTGTATACTAGTATGTTAATATTAGCGATAATTATTCCTTTAGGAATCAATATAATAATGTTTTTATTATGGGACTTTTGTGTTATAAAGTGTAGACCGATATTAATATTATAGCTAATTTAAATAACTTCCCTTCCTTCTAACAAGATAATCGACGATTTGTACTGTATATTAAAGTTATATTTAACTTACACTTTTCATAAAATGTTTACAATATAGATTTTTTTACTTTTACTGAATAATAAAAATTTTTTTTATATTTTGATAACAAAATAAAATATTTTGATTCAAGTTTACAAAAACTGATGATTTTCAATGTACAATGACAAAAACAAAGCGTGATCATCCAGTCAAATTTTCGGACCTTTCCGTTCAATGATTTTTTTGTCTGATCATAAACGGAAACTGTCCGAAAAATCACATTTTTTTTGCGTTATTAATTAATCGGACATTTTGAAATGATAACATTATTATTATATAAAAAGAAAATAAATATTTAGGTCGCAACTTATTATAAATACCAAATTAAGCAATTAAACAATAATTAAATAATGACGTAAATTGTAACAGGCTTCTTAAAATTAGACCTTTGATGTCAACTAAACATTATATTATAAGGCTAATGAACGCTAATAATAGTGAATTTAATATGTTCTAAATCTTAAACACATACCAAATTTGAATATTTTGAACGGATTTACTATTACGTATAGTCGTACGGTACGTATTACGTAGAAATTTGGTCGAAAATACCAACACGGTAAATATTTCATAAAAAAAATTAATTGGCCTGGATATTAATGCATTATTGATAGGAAGTTTATTATAAGACTCATTTTAGGTAGCGTGTTTGATGCTGATTTTCTTATTATTATTAATTTATCTTTTTTAATTTTAAAATTTAATCAACTCCGATAAATTTGTCATTATACCTCCTCCTTTGTTAGAAATATTTTAAATCAAGATGATCTAAGTTTAACCGAAAATATTTATTTTTTGATTTTACATCTATGGTTAAGGTATTATAGTCCCGGTTATGAAAGTTAAGTTACACAATTTTATTTTGGGAATTAAAAAATGTACGGTTACGCGAAACCGTCTTTTTGTTTGCAGATAAACAGAAATGATCAGCTGTGAACTAGCCGTAGTCGGTTGATTTCTTTATTATTAAAACTAATTTATTTATATATCATCTTTAAAAAGAAATATGAATAACAATTACTCATAATATGTTTTCGAGAGAGATTGTTGAAGAATTTTATATTTTCAATAAATTTAAAAAAAAAAAATGTTCATGCAAGTAGATACTTAAATAATTAAAGAATCTTTAATAATAACATTTTACTAATTTTTAAATTTAAAAGCATTTTTTATGTTGGGCTGACTTTTACAATTTTAGTATCGTATTTATTTTTATACCTAGATTTATAATTAAGTTACAATGTTTGGTGTTGCCCAAGGTCACATTGTCATTTTTAGAACGATATTTATCATGTGATCTTCATGCATAATCAACGGACATATTCCGATAGTTACACATTAATTTGAAAAAATAGGAAAAAAGACGTTGATAAATTTAGATTCGTACAAGTTTACGTATAATAGGCAATTAGGCAATTAGGATCTTTATACATAAGCCATAATTTAGACTAGAATTAGAAAATTTGTCGAAGGAGTTGGATTAGAAAATAAATTCTACATTCCAAAGAAAATTTTTTCGTCAATTTTTTTTTTTTTTGTAAATATTATAAACTTTTAATTAATTGTAGTAGATTATAATTTTTTGATAAATAAAAATAAAATAAAATAAAATAAAATTATATAAAACCTTCAATAAAATCATTTATCAATCAGAGAAAGAAGAAGATAACTTGCATTATTTTCCTTTATATTGATTATTAAATAATATTGTTGATTTATACTTCACACACAAATCCCATAACACAAATATTATAATATTGACGCCTAAAGGAATAACTATTGCTAATATTATCATATAAGTACGAATGTCTGTGCTTAATGCGTATATAGCGGCTATAGAAAACATTATAAGAGGTAAAATCAACGTGATAATAGTTACTGTAAACGCAGAAATAAATCTCCAACCACGCTTTTTCATACAAGCAGCTGTGTGTACTGGCGCCCATCCTAGTGCTACACCAATTACAGCCAGCGTCCAAAGAACTTTTCCATTTGTAAATGGTATTAAATCTATTAAGATGAGTAAAGGTGGAATAATTGTTCCACACCATAGTGCAATTTCCATTATTAATACCCTATATTTGTAGTCCTGTAATATAGTATTGTTTTCACTGAATAAAATCCATGTCCCAATCATGAGTGTAATTGTAAGAAAAAAAGCAGTTATTCCTACTGCAACCCAAGTTTTTGCCGCAAAATTTACATTTAGAAATGCTTGAAAAGGATCTTTGGGATTATAAAAGCACTGAACCGTAGATGAAATGGAATAATCAGCGAGAAATTGTTCTGCACCATTTATGTTTTCACGAAACTCTGTAGTAATATTTGTTGTTATTGGCGTGTAAGACCAATTATCTCTTTTTTGGAGCGTTACCGTGAGCACGACTGAATAACAAATAGGACATTTTAACTGACAAGAAAGTCTACTTGTATCACTACAACACGAACAAGTGCAAGAACAATTTGAGCAACAGGGTGAACAACATGTCGAACAACAATAATATCCGCCATTACATTCTCCTTTCAAATCATTGATTGGACAAACATCTGCTAACGAACTATTTGTTAATACTGCATTGGTACATGTATCAGGTGACAATGAATTCCACTTGGACTCAAGATCTGTACATTTAGGAGCTAATTCACTTGCTGTTTCGCAATTACTACATTCCGCATAACAACAATACTTTGTTGATATTGTTTTGCTATTGATCGTACAGTATGTTGAAATATATTCGGCTCTTTTTATCTCAGGATATCCTAGACCGAAAAATATTCCAAGAAATAAGCCTAAAGTCAAGAGTAAAAATATTGTGTAAATAATTTGACATTTAGACATGATTTAATTAATTAATTATTTTTTGAAATAAATAAAAAACAGTGAACATAAAAAAAAATCATCTCCTTATATACTTGCAAAAATTCTATAACTAGAAAATGATCAGCTCAGCCAAATTTAGTACTAAAAATAGTCATTATCAGCCTGAATATTTACTAGTATAATTCCGGAGATTTTTAATGTTTAACAACACGTTTTTATTTTAACAATCGGTTAAAGAACCCCGGATCGGCTGAAAAAACCTTTCATTTTAATTATCACTCATTATCTACTTTGGTTTTAATTAAGTCCTTTAACTTGGCCAAAATTTTTAAATGTTAAATAAATGTAAATAAAGTAGGACAAATACTAACAATAATTTCGGTCATGTTTCTTTGCATATGCTTAGTAATATTACTTTTGTGTAGGCAACTTCTATCCGAAATTGAGTAATCTATTCTCAATAATTTATGATAGTTTTTTGGAATGTAAAGAAATAAACAAAAAAAAATTTTTTTTAGGAACGCAAAAATAAAAACTAAATTTTATTCGTTGAAAAATAATTGAGTGATGTCATAGAATTTGCGAAATATTTAATCATAGAGAATGAACAATGAAAGGTGGAAGCATGGAAATCATAATAATATAGGTTATAAACAAACAATTGGCGTCCATTAGTGTAAAAAAAATTTTTTATAATATTTACTAACTGTTTCTAGTTATTAAAAACTTTTAAAAGGACTCGAAAAGTCTCATATAGGTTTTTCAGGGCCGGGATTATAGTAATGCTGGCCAGTATCTAAAAAATGGAAATAATTTCCTGACTAGAATTATCGAAATATTATCCATAAGAGGAAAGATCTGCACAATTATTTTGTCACCGATACCGAGACTTATTCGGAGTTCTCTTTTAAATATATTTGTTTAAGCTTTAAACAATCAGAATTTTGAGAAAATCCTTAAAATTTGGTAAATTTTGATAACGATATCTTATTGTGTAGTAACTTCATGTTAATAAATTGAAACTATTTGATAAATCTTGATTAATCATGTTGATTCACAATAAAATGTTTGAGCGTAATGAATTTTGTGTGACCATATGACCTGATTTACGATCTTATTGTACACTAGATCTTGAAAAAAAAATTTTCTTCTCGTTATTATAAAAAAAAATGTCTTCTCAAGAACTTATTAATGATTATGAAAGATTACTTGAAGTTGGTGAAGGATATGACGTTATAATTTACGCCGGAGAAAACGAAGATATGAAAGAGATTCGTGCACACTCACTTATTTTACGTGCTAGACTTCAACATTTTCGTGTTGCACTATCAGATCAATGGACCAATATAGATGGAAAAATCATTCTTGAAATACCTAATATTTCTCCTCGAATATTTAAAATTATTTTAAGGTAATAAAAAAATAAAATTAACAATATTATAATTTATTATTAATTTATATGCTAATTATTTTATTTATTCAGATTTATTTATTGTGGAAGAATTGATTTGATGAATATTCAAGGTCCAGAAATTTTAGAACTTTCGATGGCAGCAGATGAATTAAATATTCAAACATTAAATCTTTGTATTCAAGAATATTTGATTAATCATCAATTTGAATTATTAAAACAAGACCCTATTGAAATTCTTGAAGTCGTTTGTCAACTTAATCAGCATGATACTTTCAAAGGTTTATATGATTGTTTTCTTGAAACAATTTGTGAAAAATCAGAAATATTTCTCAATTCTGATAATTTAATTAGGTTAAATGCACATTTATTGGAATTACTTTTAAAACGAGATGATTTATTAATGAATGAAATTGAAATATGGGATAACTTGATCAAATGGTGTTTGGCTCAACATCCTTCTATCCAACAAGATGTTAATAAATGGAATAAAGAAGAAATCGAAATTATGAAAAGTACTCTTCGTAGATTTATTCCTTTAATTAGATTTAATAATATATCTTCAGAAGATTTTTATTATAAATTATATCCTTATAAAGTAATATTAACCGAAGATTTGACTGAAAACATACTTGCATTTCATATGATGCCAAATAAGGAACTCTTTAATGGTATTCGACCCCTTAGAAAACCAAAATATGATACAAATATAGTTACATCACGACATTTTTCTATCTTTGCTAGTTGGATTGAAAGGAAGAATAGTTCTTATTATTTTGATAAAGATATTCCTTATCATTTTAAATTAATTTACCGCGCTAGTAGAGATGGTAATAGAAGTGAAGTATTTTATAGAAAATGTAATAATAAAGGAACCACTATAGTTGTAGTAAAAATTAAGGGATCGGAACAAATATTTGGTGGGTATAATCCAGTTATTTGGAGATCATATGGCAATTATATGATGACAAGTAGTTTTATATTTTCATTTACAAATAGAAAGAATATAAAAACTGCAAAAGTAGGTTATGAATCATCTATAAATTTTTATCCAGATTATGGATCAATGTATGGCTGTTATCTTACTTGTAATGGTGAAGGTAATATTTGGGGGGTTGACGATAGTTTTTTAAGAAATTATCTTAATATTAACATTCCATTAGCAGGATATGTTGAAACAGATGATTATGAAGTTTTTCAAGTTACAAAGAAACCATAAAAAAATAATTAGTTTTTTTTCATCATGATATATTTTAACGTTATAAATTTTATGTTATTGATCTTTTATTAAATAAAATAACTTTTAATATCATAAAATCATAACTTATCTTGTTTCTTACTATGATCAAAAATTTACTGCCGAATGTTATAAATATGAAGTGGTTGACATTTTGTAGAATTTAAATGATAATAGTGATAACGAATGACGTTACTATTGCCTCTGTAGCTAATATCCCGAAGATTTCCGTAGTATAATCATCGTTAGATAAAAGAAATAAAGGAAAGTTCATCCTATTTATAAAGATTATAAATATAATTTTAGTAAATTATAATTTTATTATTTTAACTCGAGAATTGAGATGGGAATGTGCGGCGTATGTAAGCGGCGTATGTAAAATTACAAAAATAAAGAAACCCCACCAAATACCTTTTCCCTTAGAAATTCATGATAGATCTTTTAAACGAGCTAAATGACGTAAACTGACTAAGTGCGTAGTAATGAAAATTATGTTAATAAACTTTGAAAGGTTTTCTATTCGCTTTACGTTACATTACAGTAACTTTACAATACTCGTTGATGTTGAAGCTTTTCGCAAATTCAAAATCAGGCTTTCAAATTGTTGATGACTTGAATCGTAAAGAGTTGTAAGCGTATGAGATAGGTATTGTTCTTTAATTACTAAAAATTCTTTGGATTTACCCATTAAAGCGATGAGAAAGTAAGAAAAATTCCCCAGACTTGGAAAGTTGAAGGATCTCGTTTTTTTTTTTGATAATAAAATCGGAAATGTTTTTTATTAATCTTTTGTTCAAAAATTAAAATCTATAATTGTTGAATAAGAAATTTTTAAGGATAAAATCTTTAAATTAAATAAATTAAATGAAATTGGCTTGATTCCACTTCTTTTGATTAATTTTATTTGAAATAAAATACTGCATTGGTACGTACTAAGGATAATTACGTTTATTCAAGGTTGCGGGTAAAAAAATTATTGGTACGGCGTGATTAACTGACCAATTTACTTCCTAAAATTCCTGTATCAAAGGGTATATTTAATGTTATATCGTAACATCATCTATTTATTTTTATTATACCATGAATGAAGAACAACGACAGCAATCCTAAAAAAAGCAAAAAAAAAAGAAGTTAGAAAGTATTAAAGAGATCTTGGGATAGAATTGTCATTATCTATTAAGCAAGAAAGTAATGTCTCATACCACGAAATTTCATCGCATGAGATACGTGGCTGAAAAAAGCGTAACGTAGGCAAAAACTCATTCTGTTACTCACGTTCTATCTATTGTTATGTTCCGAGAGTAATACTGAAATAAATGATACTTTTGGCAGGTTTAGTTCAAAAGAATGCGAATTTTAAGTAAAAAGTTCAGCAAACCTTATCACATGGCTCTATAATGTCAAATATCAGTTTATATTGAAACGATAAATGTATTTACATTGGTTAACGTCACAATCGTCACATCGTGACGTTAACCATTATAATACAATATACTTTTCGGTTTTGTATTTAATTAAGGCAATGATAATCAAAATGCGACAGTTGGTTAGTATGAATTCAAATATGGTTTAAATCGTTTTTCATACACTTCGTAGTAAAAAATGACGATGATAACATATGATTTACGTACTAGTGATGTAATTAATTATCTTAGACGTTAACAGTTACTTCGACCATAATCTATTTTATCTCCATATAACCTTTTCGTTCTTCTTTCCTTTAGGTCTCCGTTTTATTTTTCTTTTGGTGTTTTTGGTTCCCCATTTGATTAATTAGCGTAGTCCTACTTTTTCAAATAGTTTAGACCGAAGAGTGAGATCATGTATGGGATGGTGTAAGGTCCGATATGGGATGAATACTTGAGATCTGTACACATATTAGTTTTTTCGTACGCAAGTACCATCTGCTTTTATTTGTAATAGACTTAGTTTACTACTCTTTTAGAAATAAAATAAATAAATCAGTTAGCGTTACACTAATTTATTTTAAGTATCAATAGCTGATAGTGTACGCGTCACTTAACATTTACTTTAGTAGGAATAAAAAGACTAATAAAAGTCCATTTATAGATTTATTACAGATTTAGGATTTCTAATATGTCTAAATGCGAAATTTATACACTCACTCACTAACGGAAATATTTTTTATTATAAATGGTAAACGCTAAATTGGTTAGTGGGTTGACTACGCTTAATTTTCTATGGATTATAGAATGACATCACGACGTATTGACGTAGTATATACATATGCACGCAAAAAAAAGTCAAACGCTGATATATATATATATATAGTGTATACACTATATAACCGAAAAACACTTTTTGAAAATTTTAGCAAAAAGAAAATGAGCAGTGAATTTAAAAAATTACCTGAAATAATACAGATACTGACCTTAGTCTTTACCAGAAAAATCATTTACAATGATAATTTTAATCCGGAACCGATATCTCAAGGGAATAAAGAACTTTGTGAGGAATTTATTGCAGAATATCTTTTAAATGGAAAAACAGTAAAATTTGAAATTTTGGAATCAAGATTAAAAAATAAGAGCAAAAATGAAGGATTAATACCTGTTTTTATTGAACATGCTGAAACATATTATAAAGATAGGGAGATATTATTTGAAAATAAACATGAATTAATTCCGTTTATCTTTCATTATTTTAGACAAAGAGAAAATGAAATATCAAATAATCAAAATTTTGAAGATTTTAAAGAAAGCATTTTGACTGATATTGAGAACATAATTGGATTAAAAAATACAGGAGATTTTCAAGAAAGATTAAATCGAATTAAAGAACACTCAATCAAAGAGCAAACTTCAAAAAGAAATAAGAAAAAAATTTGGGTAAAATTTAATGAAAACACTATAAAAATAATTTTTAATGGTGATGATGTTTTTGATTTAGTAGAAGAGGTAACTACAAAATTAAATGGGCTAGAGAATTTCAAAATTGATTTGATTGAAGCATATAAGCATAATTCAACGGAACCGCTAAAATTTGGGGATATAATTGATGATACTTTTATCAACCAATATGAAACACCAATAGTTATTAGAGTTAAAGCATAAGGAATAAAGAATATAGTTAGTATATAGCTTTGTAAGGATAACGTAATGATAGGTTGCATATAAATAAATAAATATATTTTAAAAGTGACTCATAATTGGTTAATACAATGGATAAAATCATTAAAATTCAACCGTTTATAATTTGGGCCACGTGGCTAAAAAGTTATGCTTACTGAAATAATTACGTGTTTAATATACATTAATTTGCGGTATCCAGACTTTTCGCCAAAGTCCATTCCACCGAAACCCATTTCGCCGAAGCAATTTCGACGAATTGACATTTCACTGAAAAATTATTTATTCCATTTTGGTTATTTTATTGTTGTTATACTAAATGCACAAAGAAATCTTTTCTAAATAAATTTTGAACTAGCTGATTTTATTAAATTTACCTCGTTGTTTATAATACATTAATCTTTTTTATATTTACTTTTTCGTGAATAAATGTTTTCAGGAAAATAAAGTTATTTATTTATTGCTTGACAATTAATATCAGTTACTTGAATGTTGATAATATCCTGGAAAAAAAAACCTCTAAAAATAATTTAATTTTTATTTTCATTACGCGTTGAATATTTTTTTATAAAAATGTTAATCGCTAGCATTTTCGGCGAAATGTCCATTTGGCGAAATGGAACGGACTATTCAGTGAAATGGATTCAATAAAATACACTATCGGCGAAACGTCCTTACGGTGAAACGTCCCTTCGGTGAACATCCTTCGATCAGCGAAATGGCTTCGGTGAAATGTACCGTAACCTTAATTTGCACGTAAAATACGTACCGTATGAACGTAAATCTTATAAAAATTTGAAGCCCAAGTTTGTGATAATTACAACGAAATATTTGATAAATTAAAAAAACTTATTTCATTGGCTACATTTGAATTAAGTAAATATGTTGTAGGACTCTCTGTAAAATGACACCCGACCTCCTGTTTCTGAGCAACCCGAGAGTTTTATACACTAGCATATTTTGATATCACCTCAGCCCATGGGTGACTTTTACTGAATCAGCTAAAGCTGGAGATCCATTTACTATTACAGCAACAAGTTCTTGTTGCAGATCTTTAGATCCAGAGACAATACTTATCTATGGTTGTACGAATGCTACAATTGGTAGGACTCTTGGAGAGAAAGCGTACCCTATTGTTAGTTACTTTATCGCCGAGCGTTTAACCCATTGTCGAGTAATTCATAAAATAGATATAATAAAATATTAAAATCTTACAACTTTCATTATCTTTTACGAAGAATTATTTAAAATTTCTTTTTTTGATTTTCGACGTTATAAAATATACTTTTTAATTTTTGACGATTATTAACTTTTATTGAAACATATTAAAGTGGTGAATAAATAAATTAAATATTTTAACTTGTAAATTATGAATTGAACACTATTTAATTCTACGTCTATAATGAGAAATAATGTATTACGAAAGAAATATAAAGACAATTGAAGTAAATGTCTGATGCTAGTAAAGCAAATTACCTGATCTTCGGAAGAAATTGGAAGAAAGAAAAGAAAAGAAATAAGAAGGTAAGCTATATTTTCAGCTATCTTTATAATTTTTTCAAAATTTGCGAGTAGGATTACATTCGTCCGGGAGAATCAGAAGGGCAAGGTCCCAATGTGTTAAACTTGACATTAAAGATTATTACTTTTTATATAAGGATTTTAATTAAACAATTATGGATTCATGGTTGAAAAAATTGTAAACCTTATGATCCTAATAAGTAGTCTATTTATAGGAATGGCAATACTTAGTAGTTACTTTGTCACAATTGAATGTCAAGATTTTCATAGTTAAAGGAACCAGTTATAAAAATTTTATATTTTTAACATAAAAGTAATTATAAAGCCATTGGATGAAATTTATTTCTATACCATAAAATCTTACAGAGTAAATATAGTATATTTATCAAAATAATTTATGATTTCTTTATAATTTGAAAAACTTCAAAATCGTCTATATCTATACTTCCATTCATTGGAAATTTAATACCGGGATAATTTCTTGAATAACTGTGATTAATTATCCATGTATTGTTAAGAAAATACAAATAATAACCAAATATTGGACCATGACTTCGATAACAACCTACAGAACTCAAACCATTACTATAACCTACTTTTGCAGTTTTTGTGTCTCTTCTATCTTTAAATGAGAATATAAAACTATTGGTCGACCTCTTATAATGATTATATAAATCCCAACTAAATGGATTATATCCTCCAATAATTTGTTCCGAATCTTTAATTTTAACTACAACTATAGTGGCTCCTTTACTATCACATTTTTCATGAAATGCTTCGGCCGTATTACCATCTCTACTAGCACGATATATTAAATAAAAATAATAAGGAATATCTCTTGAATTATAATAATTATAATGTGAACCATCTTTCTTTTCGATCCAACTAGAAAAAGTGGCAAAATAGTGAGGTTTAATTAAATTTGTATCATATTTCGGACTTCTAGATGGTTGTACATAATTATTAAATTCCTTATTTTGTTCCGTATGAAATGCAAGTATATTATTAATTAAATCTTCAGGTAATAATACTTTATAAGGATATACCTTTAAATAAAAGTCTTCTGAAGATATTAGATAAAATCTAATTAAAGGAATAAACATATGAAAAGTATTTTTCATAATTACGATTTCTTCTTCATTCCATTTATTAACATCTTGTTGAATAGAAGGATGCTGAGCAAAACTCCACTTGACCAAATTATCCCATATAACAATTTCATCCAATAATAAATCATTCCGTTTTAAAAGTAATTCCAATAATGGTGCACTTAACCTAATTAAATTATCAGAACTAAATAATATTTCTGGTTTATAACAAATTATTTCAAGTAAAAATTCCCATAAACCTGAGAAAGTATCAATTTGATAAACTTGATAAACGGTTTCAAGAATTTCAATAGGATTCCGTTGTAAAAACTCGTATTGATAATCAATTAAATATTCTTGAATGCAAGGGATCAACGTTTGAATATTAAGTTCGTCTACTGCCATCAAAAGTTCTAATAATTCTAGGTCCTGTAATTTCGTCAAATCAATCTTTCCACAATAAATAAATCTAAATATTTTTTTTAAAAAAATAAAATGCTTAAATATATAATAAAGTATTTTAACAACATCGATAATTTTATTTATTCTTTACCTTAAAATAAATTCAAAGATTTGAGGAGAAATGTTTTGTTTTTTAAGAATAAATTTTCCATCTTTTTTATCGGCCCATTCGTTAGAGAATGCAGCACGAAAATACTGAGACCTAATACATAAAATGAGTGAGTGTGCATGAATTTCTTTTGCATTTTCATCTTCACCGGCGTAAATAATAACATCGTGCCCTTCATCAACTTTAAGTAATTTTTCATAATCATCAATAAGTTCTTGGGAATATTCGAAAGACATATTAATTATCTTCTTTATTATAGTAAAAATAATAAAGTTAGAGTTTTGAAGGCACTGTACTATATATGTGGTCACGCAAATATGTTAATCGTTATTTATTATGCAAATGAAATTCTATTAATGGAAATCCCGAAATTATCAATATATTCAATAATTTCAGCATAACTGAAATCGATCAATTTCAGTCATTTTTGTCGATCAAAAACGAAAAAAACGATCAGATTTTTTTTTAAAAAATTTGTACAAAATTTAATAAAATTTAATTACTAAATATCATTTTCAGGGAAAGTTTAAATTTATATAATTGTAATTAAATATTACACTAAAATTTGGTTTTGTCTATCCCTCTTGAAGAAAACTACTAATTCGATGATTTCATAAAATTAAAGAAATGGCATGATTCTGAAAAACCAATATTAAAATTTAAATATCTCCTATTCATAAATTTATTTTTACGTTAAACTATTTAATAGTGTGACAGATTTTTAACAGTTTCCGTTTTCTTAGTATATGTATTTCAAATTAGCGTGATCAGTAATTAATTTTAAATCACAAGTAGTACTATCGATCTGATGTGCATATCACTATCAATTTACCGACAATCTACTGAAATTAAATTTTTATTGGAAGTCAAATTAAAATCTTTATTATTTATTATTGTTTCAAAAAAATTGTGAAAATCACCTCACTTTTATACTTAGAATTTATCTAATATATCTATTGTACGATTAACATTACAGTCATTACACCCATTTCGGACATTAAACCAATTACAACGAGTCGGAAAATTACGGAAATTACAACTTTATCGACATAGTATCGACAACCTTTCAACTATTACGGTGACCAACACTAGAGATAACTAAGTGATGACACTTTATATATATCATTTAAATATAAAAAATAAATAAAATTTCTTTTATTCTTTATTAACATATTTCATTATTTCTTTATAACTTGAAAAACTTCATAATCATCTATATCAATATTTCCTGAGGACGATAGAATTTGAATTTTAATGCTAGGATAATTTCCTGAATAACCATAATAAACCCACCAATTAGTGCCAAGATAAACTAAATAATAACCAAATATTGGACCATAACTTCGATAACAACCTATGGAAATTTGACCATTACTATAACCCACTTCCGCTGTTTTTACGTCATTCTTATTTGTAAATGTGAATATAAAACTATCAAGCGTACTCTTATAACTATTACTTAAATCCCAATCAAGTGGACTATATCCCCCAAAAATATAATTTGAATTCTTAACTTTTGCTACAACTATAGTAGCTCCTTTATTGTCACATTTTTTATGGAACACTTCAGCTGAAGCACCATCTATACTGGCACGATAAATTAATTTGAAATAATAAGGAATATTCCTTAAATTATAATATGAGTCATTTTTCTTATCGATCCAACTAGAAAAAATAGCAAAATGTTGAGATTTAATTATAAATGTATCATATTTTGGTGATCTAGGAGGATGTATATCGTTATTAAGTTCTTTATTAGTAGATGCGGTATAAGATGCAAGTATGTTATTAGTTAAATCTTCAGGTAGTAATACTTTAAAAGGATATACTTTTAAATGAAAATCATCAGAAGATATTTGATAAAATCTAATTAGAGGAATGAAATTTTGTAAAGTACTTTTCATAACTGCGATTTCTTCTTTATTCCATTTATCAATATCTCGTTGAATAGATGGATGTTGAGAAAAACTCCAACTGATCAAATTATCCCATATAACTATTTCATCCAATAATAAATCATCCCGTTTTAGCAATGATTCCAATAAAGGTGCTCTTAACCTAATTAAATTATCAGTATTGAATAATATTTCTGGTCTATCGCATATTGCCTCAAGAAAAAAATCCAATAAACCTGAGAAAGTATCAAGTTGATAAACAGTTTCAAGAGCTTCAATAGGATTATGGTGTAAAATCCTATAATGATGATCAATCAAATATTCTTGAATACAAGTAATTAATGTTTGAATATTAAGTTCATCTACTGCTATCAAGAGTTCCAATAATTCTCGAGTTTGTAATTTTGCCAATTTTGCCAAATTTACTTTTCCACAGTAAATGAACCTAAATAATTTTTAAATATGATTAATGATTAAATACAACGGTATCACAATCCAATAATTTTTTTTTTTTTTTATTAAAAGAAAAAAATTTATTTATTTGATTTATTACCTTAGAATAATTTCAAATATGTGAGAAGAAATATTAGACTTTTTAAGAATAAATTTTCCATCTTTTTTATCGGCCCATTCATTAGAGAATGCAGCACGAAAATATTGTGATCTAATGCATAAAATAATTGAGTGTGCACGAATTTCTTTTGCATTTTCATTTTCACCGGCGTAAATAATCACGTCATGTCCTTTGTCAATGTCAAGTAATTTCTCATAATCATCGATTAGTTCTTTAGAATAATCATAAGTCATTTTCTTATTGGTAAAAAAGAGATGTTTAAAGTTTGAAAGTTTATGTTACATAAATTAGTCATGTGGTCACGCAAATAATTGATTGCATTTTATTGTGCAAATGAAATTCCATTAACGGAAATCAGAATGATTGGTGGTATTAAGCCCAAAACTGAAGTTAACTAACTTCAGCAATAACGTCATGATCAACGCAGGTAACTACTCATTTATTTATCTTCATGGCCGGAATTACGTAATTCCGCCTAGCATTATCCAAATAAGAAGGATCTACACATTACCAATGGATTCGTCATTTGGCACTTAAATTAATTCGTTTGGTTATTCTGCGTATCTTAATTTTTTTTTTAATCAAAAAATCAATTGAAATTTTTTGATTTATATATAGTACGTATGTAAAATTTTTTTTTCTACTGCTACTTTAACAACTTCAAAAATAACACAGCTACGATAAAAAATTCATTAGATTTTTTTTTATAAAATTATATTATATTGATTTATAAAGATATTAGAAACTTTGCAATTCTTGCATGATCATGTGAGCTTTAAATGTTCTATTTTGAAAAGTAACCGGCAAACTTTTCTCTCAAGAACGTTAAATTGCATTAATTATGGAGCTTTATCGTATATAGTTGAGTCATATTGTGAGAGTTTTGTGCCTCTAAGGTCAATATATAACAAAATATAGACATTAAACATTTAATACATCTTGATGTGACAATTCTAACGTTCTATGTTTTATTTTTCCGAGATTATTAGATGAAAAGTTAAAATGACTAGTAAAATTAGAAGAACTTCCGCCCGGCGGGGGTATTGCACTTATTGTTGACCAAATTAGTTGGCAGAAAAGTCGAAATTTAGTAATATATTTTTTTTCTGGAACATTACCCTTTTTAATTAGATACATGTTTTCTATTAATTTGTAGAATAAGTAATAATCATTTACAGATGAATGGATAAATAAAAATATTTCAGATATAACATATCAGAACAACAACATACGATCTTTTATCAATATAGTTATCAATATATTGATCGCCTTATTTAATAGGGTATCGAATGTTTCTGATTAGAACCAATAAAATCGATCATTAATGGGGTTAGTGAATTCTTCGGATATTATTATTAACTTATCGTATAAATCGAGTATCTTTTAATAAGTAATTAATCTCTCGTTTTCTTTATTGTGTAGTAATTAAGTCGGTTAACTACATAATTTCCTAATACATTATTCACTCTTTTATACAGCGGACTAACGCTCTAGACGGCGTTATATTAGGGTTAGTTTGGCTACTTTATATTTTAAGATAATTCTCATTATATGAGCATTATTATAATTAAATAAACAAACAAAATTTATTTGTAATCTAACCCAAGTTGGATAGCTAAATATAAGAAAAAGACATAGTAAGTAGATAAAGAAATTGATAAATTAGGCGAACGAATTAACGAAAAGGTATTGACTACGATGTGCTGCAACAATATTTTAGCCATAATATTGCTTTGAAGTATATAAGTTTAAGTAAATAATTATGGCTTAATGTACCGGTAACTTATTATAAGTTTTTCAAAATTAGGGGATTTATACATTATATTCAACATATTTATAATCATATACGTTTTATATTTTTTAAAATCTATTTTATTTTAATAAAAATAAACAATAAAAACATAAGTTTTACAAATCCTATAAAAATTTAATATATTGAATAATAATTCGTAAATAACTGAAATATTTAATTTGAATTAATAAAAATCTTCCAAAAGTTAACATGTGTATAATTTCTAATAATCCCTTGAGCTTTATATTTTTCTATTAAATTCTGATGTTCATTATTCCAATCCATATCCGAATCCAAAAAACTATCATGAATAGTTTTTAATGACATTGAATGTCTATTTTTCCAATTATCAAGAAATAATTTTAAAGATTCCAATTTAGGTGCCTTATAAAAACAAAATTTAAAATCAAATAAACTAATTGGTGATGATTTAGTTATAATTTCAAATAAATAATCCCAATTAAGTAAATCACTTTCAAAATAATTTCCATTGTTGATAATAATATATAATCTACTTAAACATTGACAATTGATTAATAAATTTTCTAATTCTAGAATATTACTGTTTCTAATCAATAATTTAAGGTATTTGAGTTTTGGACATTTTTTATAAATAGCTTGAATAATATTTCTATTATTAATCTCATCATGACTCGCATAATCAATTTTTATTTCGATAAGATATCCACTTGTATTTTTAATTAAACTTGCTAAAACATTAATCGGAATACATCTAGCTTTTAAAATTTGTAAGAATGGTAGAGATAAATTATCTAAACAGGTTGTCACATTTTTAAGGCCAATAGCATTCAATTCTAATCTATTTAAATTTACAAAAGACGAAATAATTTTTGTGGCGGGTTGTTTAGTCATCTTAAAATATCGTATGGAATTTGCATGTATAATTAATGATTCTTCAAGAATTTTACAAAATGATTCATCATTCATTGAATTACCGTTTGCTAGAAAACGAATACCAAATAATCTTTTTGTGGTCTTAATTAATTTAGTAATTTCATGATTATTATTATCGTTTCCGATAACAAGCTCTAATTCTTTAACTGAGTTGCATATTTCTGCTAATCCAATCAAGACCCCATCACCATTGCAAGTACAGCAGCTGAGAAATTCAAGTTCTGAAAAGCAGAGCTTGGCTCCAGAAATAAGATGTATTTGATGATCAAATTGATAAGGTACATAAAGGTGAGTTAATCTCGTATTTTCGTTAATAAAAAGATTAAGTATTTCTTTCCAAAATGTTGATTTGTCAATATTATTATCAATAGTACTACTGATAATTCTATTTAAACTACTTAAATTTAAATACCTACAAAATCTAATATAATTGAATAAAGGTTTTTGATAATGATTTATCAAGAAGTCAATTTCTTGAATCTTTAAATTATTTCTTGACTCATCTGATAAATGTGAAATGATTACATTCAATAATAATTTCCTTCCTTTCAGACGTTTCCAATTCCAAGGATTTCTCCATAGAATTGGAACGATTGTTTCACACCAAGTTTTATTAACTGTAAGGTAAGAATAAAGGGCTTTTTTATCATCTTGTAATTCATTGAATATCAAATAAAGAATGTCATTATTTAATTTAAGCATTTTTATTATAACAAAAAAAATTTCTTTTTGGTTAAAGTTGGCGCAAATGATTTATCAAATGACATAATATTTATATGCATTGCGTGTCATACAAAATTTAGTACGATCACGTGTAATTTGGAAATACTACTGTAGTACATGTGAGAGGCCAAAAGTATCGTCGACAAAAGCAATACAAGTTTTACATCTTTGAAATATATTTAGTGTTAATAGGAGAAATATCATCTTGGGATTTTTTTTTACCGTTAGTAATATGCAAAATTAATTTTAAATAATTTACCAATCAATTGGGAAATTATTATATAACAAGTTAAGATATTTTTTATATTGATCGACAAATCACCTGACAATAAAAAAAATAACGTTATAATATTTTTATAAGGTAATACGTAACTCAATTTATTTAGATCAAATGACGCAGAGTCCAGGGGATGAACTACAGCTTCTAGTAGTAGTTAAATTCATATTAATTTCTATTTCAATGATTCTTTATTAATTCATGATTTGACAACTACTATGAACTGCATATAAGTATGGTAACCAATACTTCATAAAAAAAAAGCCTCTGGGAGTAGTCCTAGTTACTGTTATTGTCCAACTGATGATTTATGACACCACCAAACAGGTATACTCCCCTGTGAAACATTTGCGTCCAATCATAAAAAAGTACTAAACGTGATAAAAAAATAAATTTGAACCATGTGACTGTGCGACAAACTGCTCGCACTGTTGGCAATTGTGCGCACTACGTGACAATTGTTTCGCAATTGTGAGCAACTGTTCGCAGCGCGGCATGCCGCACAGTGAAAAAAACAAACACTGCCCAAGTGCCTTTACTGTCATCCTTAATAAATCAATGAAAAAAATTTTTTTTAAAAAAATAGGAGAAATACATATATTTATATAATTTTATTAAAATCAGATGACATATATAAAAATTTTACTTTGTATAAGTCATAAATATTTTTGTGCGATGATTTGTGTGATCATGATATTCCTTTAATTAAGAAACTATACAGTATATTCCTTTAAATTAATTTCTTTAATAGAATGTTACTGAGTCATTTGATACTTATCTTGTGTAATTTTTATTATTTTTTATAAAGTTTTTTCACGGAAAGTCCATTTTTTATTGATCATATTCATGAGTTGACTAAATAACGCCATGACGAAATTCATAATATATTATTACAAGACTCTAACGTCATTTTGACAATTTTACGGAAAAGCGACCCTGAGGTGTAATACCGTCTATCTAAAGACACAAATGTAATCTTTTAAACATTATTTAATATCACTATTGAGATAAAAAAAATAATCTAATATATATATATATATATAAGAAAATAATTTGAAGAAATTTCAGATTAAAGTTCGTCAAGTCTTTTCTTTCAAAATAGTGAAAAGTAATAAAAAAAAACACAAATGGAACTTAAATATTAAAAATGTTGAGAGGATGAAAATATTTAATTCATTAAATAAGATAGAATTGCATAAAAAGAAGCAATGTAAATTTATTTCAATATTTCTAAGCAAGTGATAAGTTGTCATTGATATTAATATTAAAAATTTGGTGTCATGTTAATGATTGGGTCACTATGCTTTACAAAGGTAGGAATAACCCTATTTATTGGTTTAATTACAGATATAATTGCTGGGATTTATTCTTAGAACTAATGCTCTTTTGGTCAACAAATACAAACAAACTTACGATTTAGATACCATACGTTCAGTCTGTACTCCTAGGCTCTTGATCACAGGAAACTATAGGAAGATTTGTGATGGACCTTTTATTAAACGAATGGTACCATATAGCTTATACACTTTCCGACCCTGAAAAATAGATTAGATGTCATGGGTTGGATTCTGTAGCATTAAGAATGTTAAAACGTCCATATTGGACGTGCTTTTCCAACGTAATAAGTTTAATATTGAAATTAACTATGCTTAGAGATCCATTCACAATCATGAAACATGAATTCTAATAATTTTGTAGTACCCCCTAAAGCTAACAAAAAAGAAGAATCTAGATCCCTTAGAACGGCAGTCAAGAAAAGAAATCAAGATGGAAAGAATACGATTAAGAAAGGTGTCACGAGCGTGTCATTCATCAGAACCTTTCATACAATTGATATACATTATTGGCGGACCTCATGGCCTTTTGAGAGAAATTAAAGGAAACGGGTGTAGAAGAGCGTATTTATATATGTAAAAGAAACGTCCAACAGTAGTTGATGATCATGTAATTAAGAAATATCCCTCACAAATTATGAATGTCTTGGAAAAAAAAAGTTTTATTATTAATATTAGAATATAATAATAAATTATAAGGAGTTAACGCGTAAACAACAAATTTTTTATTGAACTCTTATTAAATTTTATCAATATACTGTATGACTCAAGAATTATGGAACCATAAATTTAACGCATAAAGATCTTTTAAATTCGAATAGATTGATCATGGATTACTACTATTACTGCTTTGATTAAAAAGAATATTGGTTAATAAAGTAAAAACATTAGAGTGCAGAAAAAAGGAATAGTGAAACACAATAATATCAATTTTCATTATGGAATTATGAGAAAATCATTTAAAAATGAAAAGTATACTTTTAATTTGGGAACTAGTATACGTAAGTGCGAATGTGGTTAGTTAGTCATGTTAGGCATCGAAGCTGATGGAAATATATAAACTATCGATCGTTATTAAACACTATTATTAAAGAATATGCGTACTGTATATAGCGTTTGAATATTTATGATGCATTGCTGATCATTCCTATCATTTATAACTCATTTTTAATACCGTAAAGTCCCGAATATAAGCATCCCCAGAATTTATATTACCCGTAAGTAAGCACTCTTGACCAACACTATGATAATTTTGGCCAATACTACAATATACCAAATATATAATTTTCCCAAATATAAGCACCCCTATAATAAAAAAAGGTTACTCATATTCGGGACTTTACAGTATATAAAGAAACCAGTTACTCTAATATTCAATATTTTTTAGTTAAATCATGTTTAAATCTCAAAATTTTTACATCATATTGCTTCAAGCTTTATGTTTGTTCTTTGGTATATTTTTCGGTCTAGGATACCCTGAAATAAAAAGAGCTGGATATATTTCAACAAATTGTACGATCGATGATAAAACAATATTATCAAAGTATTGTTGCTATAAGGAATGTAGTTATTGCGGAACAGCAAATGCGCTAATAGATCCTATATGTTCAGTTCTAATGTACGAATGGAATTCAATACCACCTCAAACATGTGCCAAAGCAGTAGCAACAAATAGTTCGCTAGCAAATGTTTGTCCTATAAATAATATAAGGGGGGAATGTAATGACGGATATTATTGTTGTTCAGCACGTTGTGATGCCCGTTGCTCAAGTTGTTATAATCGTTACTGTTGTAAGTTTACATTTTGGCATTCTTGTGAGATAATATGTCCTACTTGTTACTCAGCTGTGCTCACGGTGATATATCAAAAAAGTGATAACTTGTTTTATACATCAATAACAACAAATATTACTACAGAGTACCTTGAAAACATAAATGCTGTAGAACAAATTCTTGAAAAATACCCTATTTCATCTACGGTTCAGTGTTTCTATAATCCCAAAGATCCTTTTCAAGTATTATTAGATATAAATTTTACGGTAAATACTTGGGTTGCAGTAGGCATAACTGCTTCGTTTCCTATAATTGTACTTATGTATGGAACATGGGATTTATTTAGTGAAAACACCACTATATTCCAGGGTTATGAATATAGAGTATTAATAATGGAAATTGCACTATGGTGTGGAACAATTATTCCACTTTTGCTCATCTTAATAGATTTAATACCATTCACAAATGGAAAAGTTCTTTGGACATTGGCTGTAATAGGTGTAGCAATAGGGTGGGCACCTGTACATACTGTTACTTGTATGAGAACGCGTGATTGGAGCTTTATTTCTGCGTTTACAGTAACTACTATTACATGGATTTTACCTTTCATAATGTTTTCTATAATCGCTATATACGCATCCAATACGGATATACATACTTATATGTTAATGTTAGCAATAATTACTATCCCTTTAGGCGTCAATATTATAATATTTGTATTTTGGGACTTGTTTGAAAGGCTTTAACATTATTGCTGACTTAAGTTTGCAAATTATATATGGCTTATATTTTTAAATTTTAAATATATATAATTTCAAATTCTATTGATAAGAAAATGTTATTACATTATGTTTTTTCAAAATGTTAATTATTGCAATAAAAAAAAATGTGTTGACCAAATTACAGTATTACCGTAAAAAACACGCCATTTATTATTACGCGTAGCTAAAAGTAGTAAAGTTTATGTTAAGCATAATTACACAATTAACTTAACGATTAATCATTAAATTATCTTTATGAGAAAAATACTTTCATTTGCAATTTTTCATATCGGAAATTAGGCCTTAATTATTTTCAATCATTACCCCAAAATTGGGTTAATATTTATCACATGACGGCCCATTTATTGCCGTTTTCAGAAATGTTGACAATCTGAAATTTTGACCATTTTATACCGAACACACCGAACACACCGAACACACCGAACACACCGTGAACACATACAAAAAATTATGCAAACTTGAAGTATTCATGCATAACTTTATATAAAAACTATTTTTGTCACTTTTTAGATATGAATAAAATTGAAAATATGAAAATTTGTACCGAACACACACCGAACACAAACGAACACACCGAACACACCGAACATTGGCAAATACAAGCAAATACAAGTGAATACATATATGCAAATAATATAATTTTTATACATTTTTTTATGCACACTACCTAAAAATATATTACTAAAGTTTTAATTTTGCTTTTTTTAAAGGAAAATTTGTTTTTTTTTAATTTTAATTGCTGTGTTCGGTGTGTGTTCGGTGTGTTCGATTTATAGAAATGATCGACATTCTAATGTCAACATTTCTGAAAACGGCAATAATTGATCAATAAAAATATACCAAAATTTTCTTCATTAACAAGCATCAAATAAAAAATATCATTTAATTTAAGCATTTTATTAGACCAAATGATAACATGCAGTAAAAGCACGTCCTCCTTCCAAATAAAGCTTAGGAGTTGTGATTTAATATAAAATTTCAATTGGTACTTCACAACTCACAAGAATAAATTCATGATGTGATCCTGGAAAATTTAAATCTGTCTTTTTGTGATTAAAAAATTATTAGTTTCGAATTATAGAGAAAGAGTTACTAATTATTTAGTTTTTGATCTTCTATAAATGAAAGTTTTCCTTTAATTTAACCCACAAAAATACTCGTTATCATTGATCGTAACAAAAGTAGGTAGTTAATTAATAGTATATTTTAAGTTTATATTTTAATATTAATTATATCTTCAATATTCTATGACCAGATGAATTTTCATATTCTACAAAAAAAAATGTGTCAAGGTATAAATAAATCCGTATTTTAGTAAATGAAATAAGTAAAAAGTGTGTCAGATTTATCAACTGATGAAAGTTAACGCAAAGTCTAATTACTAAAACTTTTTATAAATATACACCAAATATATAAATAACAATGGCAATGTTCAAAATTTCAGATATTGTCATCAATGCCATGGAAATGAATTAAGTGAAAAATTTTATCACGTATAGCCGGAGCAAAATTTTGGCCAGAATTAAAATTAAATTTGGCTGAAATTAATCAAATTCATCAGATTCGGCAAATTCGGGTTGACTATATCAAATGATCATTTTGATTTCTATTTATAGAAATCCATTTATGCTCACCATGTGAAAAATGTTTTAAATAAGGAAAAAAAGAAAAATTCTTTTTAATATATTTATTTTTTTTCTTCTTTATTGAAAATTATTAAGATTACATATCTCAATAAAATTACTTTCTCTTACGTTCAATATTTCTTTTTTTTTTTATTAATAAAAAATAAAACATTATTTTAAATCATGTCTTATAAACTTGAATCTGATGTTATTAAAGCGCTTGGTGAACTACTTGAAAACAAATTCAATTGTGATGTTATTATTCACGTCGGAGAGAAACCTAATTTTAAAGAATACCATGCGCACTCTAATATCTTAAGCTGTAGATCTAAATATTTTAATGAAATACTTTCTACAGAAGATATCAAGAAAAAAGATGGAAAATATATAATTACAAAGCAAAATATTACTCCTCAAGCTTTTGACGTAATTCTTAAGTAAGTTATTTCAAAATTATTTGTATTATGTTACTTATTATAAAATTTTTTTTTTTAATCCGATTTAATTTTAATAAGGTATCTTTATACCGGACATATTAATATTAATAATAAAACTGGAACTGAACTTTTGGATATTATGATCGCCTCTGACGAATTAAAATTGGAACAATTAACTAAACTTACTGAAGAATTCATCGTTAAAAACTATCAACAATTTTTACAAAATGATCCAGTTGGAATTATTCAAATTGTTTATTATAATAAATCATTTTTTAATTTACAAGAATTTTGCTTAGAAACGATCTGCTACGAACCTAAAATTTTATTCAACAATAATAAATTTATCAATTTACCCGCTCCTTTATTAGAAATTATTCTAAAACGAGATGATTTAAATTTAACAGAAATTGAAATTTGGGATAATTTAATCAAATGGGGGTTGACACAAGGACAAACACTTAATAAAGATATTTCTAAATGGAATCAAGATGATTTTAATCAATTACAAAGAATTCTTTACAAATTTATTCCTTTAATTAGATTTTATTTAATATCATCTGATGATTACTTCAACAAAGTTAAACCTTACGAAGACATATTATCTAAAGAATTAAAAAATGATATTTTAAAATTTCACATGGTTTCCGAATATAGATCAACCGTCAAAATTTTACCTAGGTCTTCTGTAAAATGTAACTTCAATATTGATTCTGTTACAATTAATCAAATTCAAAACCACTTCGCAATTTTTGCAAATTGGATTGATAAAAGGGGCGAAAATAACAAATATACTAAAGATATTCCCTATAAATTTAATCTTTTGTATAGAGTTAGCAGAGATGGTAACACAGCTGAAGCATTTCATGAAAATTGTGATAATAAAGGGGCCACTATAGTTATAATAAAAATTGAGGGATCGGAACAAATTATTGGTGGCTATAATCCAATTGACTGGAATAAAGATGGTGGTTATAAGTCAACAACTGATAGTTTTATATTTTCATTTACAGATAGAAGGAACACGAAAACTGCAAAAGTAGGTTATAGTAATGGTAAACTGTCTATATGTGGCTCTACAAATTTTGGACCAATATTTGGTGACAATTTATATTGTAGAAATGATGGTAATACTTGGAATATTAACAATGTCTATCATTCTAATATTGATGGTCTTCCGAATGGAAGTATAAAAGTAGATGATTATGAAGTTTTTCAAGTTGTAAAATAATCATGAAATATTTTAATAAATCAAATAAAATACTTACAAAATATTACAAACTAATTTGAGTAATGATTGATATTGCGTGTCAATGCAAACCTTTATTTGGTACCTTTTGAAAATTTAGAGTTGTAAAACGTTTCTCATAATTTACTACAATTAAAATTTCGGTTAACTCATATACTATCCGTAATTACAAATCTAAAGATTTTTTAAATTCCAAATTTTTTTATTCGTTATTCTTTTTTTGTGAAAATTTTGTTTTACGAAGCTATTAAAAATTTTTACAGCTAGCTAATCAAATAGGTTCCATGCTGATTAAACGAAATGTAAGAGAATTGCATGCGTATTCATAACATCTTTTTTCGGTGTTCTGCAAAATAAGGATAAATAATTAAATGAGTGTAATAATTCTAGATTATTTATTGTGAAAAGATTAATCATTTCAAATTTACGGAATTATTGTCTTGATAAAATTTTGAAGGATTTATAATTTCATTTGATTCTGATAAGTTTATTAATTAAGATTCAGATTTAAGCGAAATTGAACGAGGTATTATATTACTTCACAGGGTACCACAAGTTTAAAAGAATTACTGCCAAAAGATTTAGTTAATGATATTTGCATCCCAGAAAATTAAAACTTATTTTTGATTTACTTGAACGAAATATTTATTATGAAAAACTACGAAAGTGGACTTAGTAATGGTTTTGTACTTTCTTGTCAGAAGATGTTACGATTTTTCGATAAGAAGTATGTTTATGAGGTTTATAAACAAATGATTAACGTCAATTACGTCACGTTCAAAGAAATGTTTCTACAAATTCGTTATTAATTTACATTTATGGGATCTCTTTTTTTTTTACTAACAAAGACGATTATTTATATTCTTAAATTTTTACTTTTAAGTTTCATATAAGGCTGGTCATATGATAGAAACAGCATAATAACATCATGTTTACATGAAGCATACGGTATAAAGAAGTATAATATTATACAAGAAAATTATACCCATTGCAATACTAAAATGAGATGAAATTTTTACTTGAATATTTATTTATTATCAAATTGAAAACTTTTACAACTTATACTTGATTAATTATCGAACGACATGATGGAGTACGGTGATTGTTTAGCGCAAACGATGTGAAGCGTCAAATATTAAATGATAAAACACATGATATAAACGGATATTCGACATCCATATTTTACCATGGTAGGAAAGTTCTAACCGGTCTTCTTATTGCAAACCACCACATGGTGATATTCCTCCGCAATATTCAATTATAGTAATAAATTAAGCCAATATGTTTGATCGATTTTATTGCAATTAAATTTGGCAAAAAACACTAAAATGATTAATAACTTTAGAATTTCATTGACAGAAAATCTGTATACTTTTGTACTCGGTTAATTAATAGTATATTTTTAAGTTTGCATACTAAGAATTATCATATTATAAAGAAAAAATAAATGTTAAGGTATAGCCCATAAATCCGAATTTCAAATGATCAGATTTATTGACCAATAAATTTAACTGCAAAGTTTCATTACTAAAACCTTTTGTTATTATCAAATAGTAAACCGAATATATAGCGTATATAGAATTTTGGGCATTGATTTATTTAATTGGTAAAGAATGAATGTATCATAGCCTTAACTAAATAAAGTATAAAGTAATTTGGCTAGATTTAAGTCAAATACTTGCTACACCTTAAAATGATCATCAAACATCTTAAAATGATCAATTATGTAAGAAATTAGCAAGTAATTGACATATGAATTTAAGGCTGGGTCCGCAATACCCTAATTGCGGATTTGCGGTATTGCGGGAACATTGCGGATTATGAAGTCCAAATATTCGCAATGCCACAATTTAAAAATTAATCGGTTAAATTATATTAACAAATAATAATAAAATAAACTTTTTTTAAAAAAAATATTTTGTAAAAAAAAAGATATTTTTATTCAAAAATCAGATCGGCCGGTTACTTTGACGGTTATCGATATCTTTATAAAAAAAAAGTCGGATCGTCCGATTATATGACGGATTGTCAATAACCGTCAAATTAACCGGCCGATCCAGTTCTTTAATAAAAAAAACGAAAACCTTAATTTTATTAATAAAATCGTTTTTTTAATACAAAAAAAAGTAAATTTTTCTTATTTTTATATTTGCGGAATTGTGGATCACTAACCGCAATTCGACTCCAAAGTCCGCATTATTGCGGATTTGGAAAATTAATTACGGTTACATAAAGATACAAGTTTTATTTTTATTTTTATTTTATTGTATAGATAGGATTCTTACCTTAAAACAGATTTAAAATCACTACATAAATGATAAGATAACCCAAACTATTATTAACGTAAAGCCCCAACGGTGAACCGCCCGCCTGTTATTTCATATTAGTTATAAGGCTCAGCCGCCCGGCCCGCTTCACTTTTTTTCACTTTTAAAGATTGAAAAGCCGCATCATTGATTTTTTTTATGCCACATTTAAATTTTACTCGGGAATTTATGTCTTCTATTAAACATCCTAACGTTTAATGTTTCTTTTTTCCTTTTTTTTCCTTTTCTTTTTTTTTTGTAGTCAGTAATTCAGTATATATTAATTATCAGTTTAAATTTTTAAATCAGATTTCATCAGAAGCAGTATGGCGCAATAAACGTGCGTTGGTATAGAGCGACCCGATAACACCAGTAATAATTCTGCAATACCAAATTGCGGAATTTTTTCAGATGTTATTGAGCAGTTGCATTGCCACATTTTTTTACAGTTTTCTTTGTATTTATAAATACTGCTTTTATCACCTCCTTCTATTCTGTGAACTTTTTTTCCTTAAAATTGTATTTATTATAATTCAAACCTATAATTCATCTCTATTAACCGTATATTAGTCAATCGATTTTAGGGATGGGTCGTAATTTTGAGCGGTTTTTGGAACCAATTCAGATCTCGTGAATTTCGAACTTATATGAACCAAAAATCCTATTTGGAATAGAGAAACACTTATTCTTTTACAATAAATAAAAAAAAAAAGAAAACTTATAAGACAAACTATTTTAATAGCTTTTAAAAATTGAACCGAACCGGTTCAATATATGACCAACATCAAAATTATGATTACCATGAACCATTGAACCAACTATTGATTGTTAACCAATCAAAATTTTTTTTAATTCATCATCAACACATGCTCTACTTGTGTCTTTAATTTGACACATGTAGCTCATATTTTTCTTAATGGGAACCGAAGCGGAACCGACGGCAAACCGAAATGGAACCGAACGAACCGCCCCATCCCTAATCGATTTTGGTGTAGAACAACAATAACAACAATTCCTTTACTATTATGCGAATCCATTTGTCGCCCTATAAAAAATTTTTCAGAAAAATGATCACGTGTCCGAGTTTCTTTGGAATAAAAACTAGAAAAATGAGAGTTTTTTCCAGAATTTTTTTTATAAGGTAGGATTCTGATATATTTATCTGAATCTTAAATTTGTTATCTCCATAATTTTTTTACAACTTTATTTAATTCATTATTATTTTTTAGAACAATTTGCGCACATTTACTTTTTTTTATACCTTTTCGTCATCTTTTATTTTCTATTTCCTCGTGATTTAGCCGTATGTCCACATAATATTGCTTATATCTTTTTCTAAATATTTTCTATCCCGATTTTTATATAAAATTCCCTACCCTTAGTGGTTTTCCATTAATGGCCTTCCCAATTGACTTGTAAGTTGTAATACGCGTTGAAGCGTTTACTTGTGTATTTCTTTCGACAATCCTTCTTCGAGTATATTAATTGAATATCCAAAATACTTAATTTTTTTAGTGTAAATTATACAATTATTGGATGGATTGAAGGTTCATCATTTCATCAATAAATTTCTAAATTATTACTTTATTATTATTGAATAATTTAATGTTGGCATCTATTCATCTAATTTAATAATCCCATCTTAAATTCAAAATCAATTTAGACTCCTTGATCAAAGATTGGAAAGAATTCTTAAGCAATATAGCAGCAATTCATTGTTTGGATTTGAAGGAATTAAAAATATTGAAAACTAAAGTTTAACCTCGATATACCGATATTTGATATACCGATATTTATACTATTAAAAATTTGATATATCGATAAAATTTTATTTTCCCACTATATGTGAGGACATATAAATATCGTAACTTTGATACAACGATATTTCCTAAAAATTTCAAATATGTCCCGACATATCTTTATATAAAGGTTTGAATGTATTAGGTCGATATGAGATATAAAATTTGTTTTATTTAAACTCAAAAAACTGAAATTTTATAATACAAGTCTCATTACATTAGATTTCAAAAATATTAATTCATTAGTAATACTTTGGTATAAAAAATTCAAATATTTTAAATTTTAAATTTATTAACAATGGTTTAAAATTCGTTATATCAAAGAGTATTGGGTGATGAGATGTAATAATTATAGTATGGAATCATAATTGAAAGAAATAAAAATAGTAACAAATTTTACTAATTTATAAACCTTTCCTACATATGTATTTTAAGTATTATTATATTATTGCATTTTATAAATAAAATATATTAATAACGATTTTTTAGCTACAAATTTATCGTTTATATAATCCGTAATACATAGTAAATAATAACAATCTATTTCAAAATTACGAAATATCACTAAATTCATCATTTTCATATTAATCTTTAAATAATGCGTTTAATATGAATTTTTAATAACCCTCATATTTTGTTCAGTCGTCCCTATAAAAATTTTTTCGGAAAAAATGATCGTTTTTTCCAGAATTTTTTTTTATAGGGCGTTGATTACGGTAACCCAGAGAAATAAGTAATGTTGATTATTGAGCGAGCGTCACTGATTGTAACACACCTTCTGCTCTTCTTAAACTTATCTAAATTCATCTAGATTTTCGTATAACTGATAATGAAATAAACGAGCCAGTGGTTGTGCCATTATATATCTTCATAGACGACTGAAAATATGTGATCAAATCACCCTTTTATCAAGGACGAATGAATATAAGATGATTTCAACCCACATACAAGTACAATTTATACTTGTGACCACAAATTAAGGAAGGTTATTTGAACGTATCAAATGTATGTGTTAATTTACCATCGCTCCCTATGTCAAAATAAGTAAAATTTATTAATCGACAGGAGGATCCCCATTAAAATTTAAAACCTGTGATCTTATAATCTTATAAGTCCTTCATCTACATTTTAAAGTTTGTCGAGTACCCCAGACAATCGGAGAATCAAATCCGATCATCATTCAGACAATCAATTTAAATACAATATTGTTTTAACAATTTATATATAAATGGAAATTCTTTTTTATCGATATAATTTTTTTTTTATCGTTAAAAAAAATAAAATCATTGCTTTACTGGGAACTTTACGACCCTATTTATCAGATGATTGTATTTACGATATTAAAACACCTTCAAATATGATCAACTTTTATTAGTGAACAGATTCTGGTATTTTACACTTTTGAAACATTTCATGGATACAACCATTACTTGTAATACACGATAATCTTTAATTGATTTTTAAATCGTAAAATTTCTGTTTATCAAAGCATAAAATTAATGTTAATTTTAGATGGTTTGGGAATTATTTAAACATGCCAAGTAATCATGAAAATCCAACATTTAATTTCGTTATACAAGATATTAGCATAATATTTAATAATCTAGCATAAGAATTTTTCAAAAGTATAGAGAATTAATTGAGGAAATCAGAAATTACTTCGTTAAAGAAGGTTATTTCTAAGGAAATTAGGAAAACCTTTGCACATAATTACAATACATATAACTAATTACAATAATTCAATTTAAAAAACTTAAAATATTACGATGTGAATCTTTATTAAACGGGTGAAGATCTTGGTATTACGAAAAATTTTGGCCCGAAATTAAACTAAGTTTGTCTGAAACTTGTTCACAAACGTTTGACAATCGAATCGGGATAATCCCGATTTTTTCTATTATAGAAATCCATTTATGCTAGATCATTAATTCACATGTAAACAAATGTCGTACAGTACGTCAATTGTCGTTGTGCATCGGGTGTCGACAGGGTACCATGAAAAGTAATATTTATATGTCGATCAATCACGTGCAACTGCAATCTGACGCAGGGGAAAATGACGTACAACATAAATAAGAAAAAAAAAGAACATTTTTTCTCCAACGCTCAATAATTTTTTTTTTTTTTTTTTTTTTTTTTTACAATAATAAATAAAAAACATTATTTTTAAATTATGTCTTATAAATTTGAATCTGATGTTATAAAAACGCTTGGTGAACTACTTGAAAACAAAGTCAATTGTGATGTTATTGTTCGTATCGGACAGAAACCTAATTTTAAAGAATTTCATGGGCACTCTATTATCTTAGGCTGTAGATCTAAATATTTTAATGAAATACTTTTTACTGAATATATCAGAAAAAAGGATGGGAAATATATAATTACAAAACAAAATTTAACTCCTCAAGCTTTTGATGTAATTCTTAAGTAAGTTACTTCAATATTGCTTGTACTAAAATCATTAAAAAAAAAAAAGTATATTTTTTTTTTTAATACGATTTAAATTTATAAGGTATCTTTATACTGGTCATTTTAATATTAATGCGAAAACCGGATATGAGCTTTTGGACATTATGGTAGCCTCCGAAGAATTAAAGTTGGAACAATTAACTAAACTCACTGAAGAATTTATCATGGGAAACTACCAACAATTTTTACAAAGTGAACCAGTTGGAGTTATTCGAGTTATTTATTATAATAAATCATTTTATAATTTACAAGAATATTGTCTGCAAATTATAAGCTCCGAACCTGAAATTTTATTTAATAAAGATATATTTATCAAATTACCCGCTCTTTTATTAGAAAGTGTTTTAAGACGAGATGATTTAAATTTATCAGAAATTGAAATTTGGGATAATTTAATCAAATGGGGGTTGGCACAAGGACAATTTAATAAAGATGTTTCTGAATGGGATCAGGACGATTTTGATCATTTTCAAGGAATTCTTTACAAATTTATTCCTTTAATTAGATTTTATTTAATATCATCTGATGATTACATCAACAAAGTCAAACCTTACGAAGATATATTTCCTAAAGAATTAATTGATCATCTTTTAAACTTTTACTCGAATTCAGAATATAGATCAACTATTAAAATTATACCGAGAATTTCTGCACGTCATTCTGTTATAATTGATCAAGCTCTAGGCCATTTTGCAGTTTTTGCAAATTGGATAGATAAAATGGGTGACCATAACAAATATACTACTAAAACTATGCCTTATAAATTTAATCTTTTATATAGACTTAGCAGAGATGGTAACACGGCTGAAGCATTTCATAGAAAATGTGATAATAAAGGGGCCACTATCATTATAATAAAAATTGGTGGATCGGAACAAATTATTGGTGGTTATAATCCGTTCAATTGGGATTCGCGTAGTGGTTATAAATTAACGTATGATAGTTTTATATTCTCATTTACAGATAGAAGAGACACGAAAACTGCAAGTGTAGGTTATAGTGGTGGTATAAGTTCTGTAGGGTGTTATTCAACTAACGGACCAATATTTGGTGGCTATTTTTATTGTAGAAGTGATGGTAGTATTTGGACAGCTTATAGTACTAATTATTTTAATCTTAGTGGTTTTCCGAACAAAAGTATAATTGCAGAAGATTATGAAGTTTTTCAAGTTATAAAGCAACTAAATATGTAATAGTAATATCGTTATTGTATTGCACAACAATAAAAGTTATTTGGTATCTTTGAAAATTTGAATTGAAAAACGGTTTCTTATGTTTTACTACAATTAAATCTTCGGTTAACTCAGTAAATTATTATCTCGTTCGTACAAATTCAAATTAGTATAAAACGATTTTATTAGATTTTGAAAAAATTCTTACAATTAATAAGAGTATATAATATAGTAAATCGTTACGGTATGCTATGGTTTAAACAGTACATACATATTCGTCATCTGATTTCAATTTAGTTGAATTTAATGAATGAACCATTAGAATTTGATTCATTTGTAAGAAAATTTTAAAAAATTGTAAAAAATTGTGAATGTTAATAACAACTTTATTATTGTAAAAGGAATGATAGAATAGTTTTAATAATATAAAATTTTTTAATAAATTTATGCGTTTCAAACGTGTCACGTGACCTTATAATAAAAAATTATGTAAAAAAAAATTCTCTTAATTTAGTTTCAGGTTTAAAACATATTGTTTCGTCCCTTGTATAATTCTATTAAAGATATCATGATAACTTGAAGAATTCTGATTGGATTATTTCGTGAGAATTGTTGTTGATTTTTAATAAAGAAATCTTATAATTCGTGTATGTATAATAATTTTTTTTTTTTAAAAAAAAATAATTATAATTTTCATAATTAATCAGTAGTTCAGTACTATAATAAATATTCAATAAAATAAACGGAAGTGTTATTAATATCTATTAATATAACTTACAAAATGAGAACGCACGTGAAAAAAGTTACTATGCAACATTTTTATTAAAGGATCGCGTAAAACGGCATAAAAATTTTTACGTGACGTACGTGACAATTATAAATGAGGCATTGCAAATTTTAAAATTTTATTATGTTATTTGTTTCCATTCTCTCCACATTACTCAATAATTCTTTGTGATTTCTTGATTATTTGATCCCATCGTCACAGTACTGCTGAGGTCTGTTTAAATTTTTATCAAATGGACCCAAAAATTGAAGGACTGCTTTACCATTCGTCATTTCTCCTTGAGCATGCCTTACAAAATTCTAAATAAAGTTACTAAACCTTGGATGCAACTGGGCGAATACCACCCTATCGTAAACCCTGTAGTGCGCACCATTCCTTCATACTTACTATATATAGAGGCTTCCCAGACATTGATGTGACACCCATTGATTCAGTATTATTGATATTAATTTTATTCTATTAACCAAGGATGATGATGATAGAATCATCATTTATTAAGCATCTTACTATAGTAGGGAAAATGTAGCTCATGATAAAAAAACAGGGCCAAAGTGTTTATCAAAATTGTCTTTTAAATGAAAGTTTTTGCTTTTGAAAATTTAGCTTCAATGATATTTTTATCTTTCAAAAATTTAATTGAATTATCTGATAAATGTGAAATGGTAATATTTAATAATGAATTTTTTTTTATAAAACATATATATTTATAAGGATAAATTTGAATCATAATTTTACACCAATGTTTGTTAACAAACAAACAAGAATGTAGAGATTTTTTTAAATTTTTTTCATTATTTGAATTAGCAGTAATTAAGTAATGTAAAATTAATTTTTATCCTACTGCTAGCAATGAGGGTGATAAAATCATCATTTATTACTTAGTGTTATTGGAATAGAAATATTCTGTGTAGGATGCTGGGTGGATATCACTCTATCTAATCCCTATCATAGATCCTGCATTCCTTCATACTCATATAGTTCATATAGTGCAATTCCTTATGTTTTTCTACCCAGCGAGCACAATTAGGTCTTTTTGTTCTTCTTCAATCTTTCTTTTGCACAAGAGAAACCGTTTTTTTTGAATTGCGGATCATCATAAAAGGGATATTCCAGATTTACCGTAAGAAGGGAGACACTGATCAACTTTTGTGAGAATTTCTTTAGTTATACCATGGTCCATGGGAGCTTCTCAGATATTGGAGTTTAATAATATGACCATTGATTCAGTATTATTGATATTAATTTTTATCCTACTAAAGGATGATGATGATAGAATGACGGATAATGATGGAATCATCATTTATTACTTAGTATCTAAAGGAAGTGAAGACTTTTTATATGTTTTTTTGGTTGCACAAACCTTATATTACATAAATTGAGTATGTACTCATCATGACCTTATGAGTCATTATACATTTTGAGATATAAAAATGTATTTACTATTATGCCTAATAAACAACGTCAGTTTAACGTAGATAAACTACCCCACGTGGCTTAAATATTCATCAAAATTATTTTTTTCATAACCCTTTAAATGTCACCGGTCACGTAGTAGAATTTAAAATTGTTGGTGTTGCAACGGTAAAAAGATAAACAATTCACATGATGCTTTACATACATATTTTACCATATTAGGAAAGTTCTAGACCGGTCTTCTTATTTATCGCTTGAACAAACCGTCACATGGATGGTACCTCATCGGATTCCACACATTTTTGTAACACTTTAAAAATACATAGCAATTTATATGTAACTTAATTTCTTTAAAATAATAAAAAAATATGAACATTCTATATAAACAAGCCGGTTAATAAAAATCCGCAGGTGTACTAAAAATATGTTGATCGATTTGTTGCAATTAACAATTAACAAAATTTTTGGTAAAATTTTGTTTTCCATTTATAGAATTTCATTGAAAAAAAAATTGTGTAACCTCCTGGTTAATTTTATGTTGCATATTTTTGCATGCAAAAAAAAAAAACTTTATCTTATCGGTTTTTTTTTTTTTAAAAAAAAAAANTCATAAAACATGATGAAAAGTTATCAACCTTTTGACTTAGTACGGCTTGCCATACCCACACTGGGTTTTTTTTTTTTTAAAAAAAAAAATGTCCTTCGAATATTCTCAAGAACTTATAAATGATTATGAAAAATTACTTGAAAATGATAAAGGACATGATGTTATTATTTACGCTGGTCAAGATGAAAATGTAGAAGAAATTTACGCACATTCACTTATATTATGTACTAGATGTCAATATTTTCGTGCGGCATTTTTTAATGAATGGGCAATTAAAGAAAATGGAAAATTTATTCTTAATAAATCCAACATTTCTCCTCAGATATTTAAAATTATTTTGAGGTAATAAAAAATTAGTGATCTAACAAACTGTTAAATATATCTAATTATTTTAATTTGAAATATTATTTAGATTTATTTATTGTGGAAAAATTAATTTGACAAATTTACAAGGTCCAGAATTATTAAATCTTATGATTGCAGTCGATGAACTTAATATTCAAACATTAATCCCTTGTATTAAAGAATATTTGATTAATCATCAATATGAATTCTTACAACAGAATCCAATTGAAATTCTTGAAACTATTCATAAAGTTTATCAAAGTGATACATTTGCAGGTTTATGGGATTTCTTTATTGAAGCAATTTGTGATAAACCGGATATATTGTTTAATTCTAATAAATTAATTAGGTTAAGTGCACCCTTCTTGGAATTACTTTTAAAACGGGATGATTTATTATTAGATGAAATTGAAGTATGGGATAATTTGATCAAGTGGAATTTGGCTCAACACCCTTATATTCGGCGAGACGTTCTGAAATGGAATAAAGAAGAAATTGCAATTATGAAAAATACTTTTCATATGTTTATTCCTTTAATTAGGTTTTATCATATATCTTCAGAAGACTTTCAATTGAAAATATGTCCTTTTAAAGCGTTATTACCCGAAGATTTAACCAATAACATACTTAGATTTCATATGGCAACAAATAAGATACTCAACGATGATATACAATCGCCTAGAATTAAATTTCAACATTTCATTATTTTTTCTAGTTGGATTGAAAAGAAAAATGATTCTCATTATAGATATCATAGCTTAAAAGATATTCCTTATCATTTTAATTTAATTTATCGTGCTAGTAGAGATGGTAAAACATCAGAAGCATTTCATAAAAAGTGTGATAATAAAGGAGCTACTATAGTTATGATAAAAATCAAGGGATCAGAACAGATTATTGGAGGTTATAATCCATTTGATTGGGATTCAGATAAAATTTATAAATATACAAAAGATAGTTTTTTATTCACATTTATAGATAGAAGGGATACAAAAACTGCAAAAGTAGGATATAGTAATGGTATATATTCTATAGGTTGTTATCCATCTTATGGACCAATATTTGGTGGTGATTTTTCTTGTAGAGATGATGGTACAGCTTGGAAGTTTAATAATATTTTTTGTTCATATCCTAATATAGGTATTCCGATAGGAAGTATAGATGTAGATGATTATGAAGTTTTTCAGGTTATAAAAAAAACAAATCCTGAATAACGTTAAAAATTTTGTTATTTAAATCGCACAATTAGAATTTGCACATAACAATTAGAAAAACTTATTTAATTTTTATATTATATATAAAGTTATAAAGTTTATAAATGAAAACTATTCGCTTTTATTATATTATTTTAATTGAGGATGTAAACTTCTTTTATATAATGGGAAAGTAAAATTTTTATTGCTATGTCAAAATTCTTAATAATTGTCCGAAGCGTCTGTCCGCGCGTGTAAATACCAATCAAATTTTCGGATCTTGCGTGTATGGCCATAGAATCGATAAGTATTATTTGATGATCATGTGATTATACCGCTTCGGACGCCCAACGGTTCCCGTTACCTAGTATATTGGTATATCAAACATAGATCAGACAAGAAGTAATCGGATAATAAATCCAACTTGTTACTAAATATATAATATTATAATATATATATATATATTATAAATTTTTCAACTTCTTATCCTATTCCTTGTCCCACTACGTTATAAAATTCAAGGAAAGAAAAATTTTGTAAAGGTTTCATGTTGTTGTGGATGAAAACTCGTAGACATATTTTTTTAATCGATTTATTAAAGATTAATTTATGTATTTGATTTGTTAAGCGTATTTCTTTATTAAAATAATGTAATTTATAATAACTAATATGTGAATTCTTAAACAATCTCTGTTACGTTTTCCTAACGTCGTAGCCAAATTATAAACTACTGATTGTATATTCGAACATTAAAGTAACTTTCATAACAATCTTTTATTATTACTAATTTGGATATTAATTACTTTAACCATTTGAAATCGAGTCAATGTCATTTTGATTAATTTCGAATATTCTTAATAATTAATAAATTATTACCTATCAAAATTTTTTTGATAAATTAACGTGATGGAAACGTAAATTACAATTTGGATGTTAGATTATCGTGGCTTAAAATTTGATGACTTTTTGTTTTTAAGTCGAAAAGTAATTGTGGGAAAATAAATTAATAAAATTTTACTATACGCTCTATAATTACATATTTAATAATAAATCCGCATATTATTATTGGTTTTTATAATTACGTTTAATTATCGGCTAAAATTATTTAACTTGTTGGTCAATTATAATTTCTATTTATGAATTCTGTTAACAAAATAGTTCATGAATTTTTAAAATATTTAAGAAATAAACAATGAATTTTTTTTTTTAATTTGTAAAAAAAAGTTAATTTTCAGATAAGTTTATCTCAAAAAAGTTATAGGATTGTCTCATCATTAGTTCATACTTGATAATACATTACGTCATCGTAAAACTTGTCCAAAGCTAACTTTAGTTAAAATTTTCGGCCCAAATTAACTTATTGATTCTGATTTCCGTTTATAGAATTTCATTGACATAATGAATTTTATGTAACATGTGGCTATTTTTTTTTTCATTTTTTTTTTTCGTTTAAATCCAAAAAATATTTTTTTTATAAGAAAAATGTCTTTTGAATATTCTCAAGAACTTACCAGCGATTATGAAAAATTACTTAAAATTGATAATGGATGTGATGTTATTATATATACTGGTGAAGGTGAAAATGTAGAAGAAATTCGTGCACATTCACTTATATTATGCATTAGGTCTAAGTATTTTCATGCAGCATTTTCTAACGAATGGGCCGATAAAAAAGATGGAAATTTTATTCTTAAAAAGTCCAACATTTCTCCTCAAATATTTAAAATCATTTTAAGGTAATGAATAAATAAAAAATTATTTTCTTTTGTATACAAATAAATACTTGATTATACTTTTTTTTTTTTTAAAAAAAAAAAAAAATTATTAGATTCATTTATTGTGGAAAAATTGATTTAACGGATTTACAAGGGCCAGAATTATTAGATCTTTTGATTGCAGTAGATGAACTTAGTGTCCAAACATTAATTCCTTGTATTCAAGAATATTTGATTAATTATCAATATGACTTTTTAAAACAAAATCCAATTGAAATTCTTGAAATTGTTTATCAAATTAATCAATGTGATACTTTCTCTGGTTTATGGGATTTTTTTCTTACAACAATTTGTGAAAATCCAGAGATAATATTTAATTCTGATAATTTATTTAAATTAAGAGCTCCTTTATTGGAATTACTTTTAAAACGAGATGATCTATTATTGGATGAAATTGAAATATGGGATAACTTGATAAAATGGTGTTTGGCTCAACATCCTTCTATTCAACAAGATGTTCTGAAATGGAATAAAGAAGAAATTACAATTATAAAAAATACTTTTCAAAATTTCATCCCTTTAATTAGGTTTTATCATATATCTTCTGATGATCTTCATTCAAAGGTATATCCTTTTAAAGCATTATTACCTGAAGATTTAATTAATAACATACTTATATTTCACAAACCAACAAGTAAGAAATTAAATATGGATATACAACCCCCTAGAAATCCAAAATATGATACACTTATAATTAAACCTCGACATTTTACTATTTTTTCTAATTGGATTAAAGAAAAGGGAACTGATTCACATTATCATTATCATAATTTAAGAGATAATCCTTATTATTTTAATTTGATTTATCGCGCTAGTAGAGATGGTAAAACACCTAAAGCATTTCATAAAAAATGTGATTATAAAGGATCCACTATAGTTATAATAAAAGTTGAAGGATCAGAGCAAATTATTGGAGGATATAATCCATTTAATTGGAGTTCGAGCAATAGTTATATAACCACAACTGATAGCTTTATGTTTTCATTTACGGATAGGAAGAATATAAAAACTGGAAAAGTAGGTTATAGTAATGGAACATGTTCTATAGGTTGCTATTTAACTCATGGACCAATATTTGGTGGCGATTTTTTTTGTCATAATGATGGTACCATTTGGTATTTTAATAATTGTTTTAATTCATATCCTGATATTGACATTCCGATAGGAAGTATAATTGTAGATGATTATGAAGTCTTTCAAGTTGTATCAAAACGAAATTTGAATAATGAGGAGAGCCCTTAAAGTTATTTTTAAATCGTAATTTTTGATAATATTTGTTAAATATTTTCCGTAAATTGATTTATTTTTTTTGCTACAATAATTCAAGACATTATCCCACATTATTATAATAAACAAACAATATGTTTAATTTTTTAAGCATTATCATATTAATTAAAAGTAAAGTTAAGACCCGTAGTTGTAAACCGTAATGTATAGATTATAATTGCATGTTTGGATGAAAGTTCAAAATTTAGAAATTGATAAAAAAATCAAGACTTGATGATTCAAACGTGGATTGATGATATTTTAATTTTTGCAACAAAGACGTACATTGAGAAAGCGAGCAAAAGTTCGGCTTCATCTTTAGACTGATATACATTTAGAATTATTCAAAACCTAAGACCTGTCTCTTATACACATCTAGATGTGTATAAGAGACAGAATAAAGGGTGCGTGTTGTTTAATATAACGCAAAAAAAAAAAGATCTCAGTAAAAGCAAAGCAAAAGTTAAGAACAAATTTTGCTTGTTTATTAATTATATACACCGACACCTTATAAAAAAGTTTTTATGGCGTACTTCTTGATTACAGCTTACGTGGTATTGGCATTTGTTATTATTGATATCGCAAATTTCACATCTGATTTCAGATAACAACACGTACCAGCTTTATTCTTATTAAATTATTCTTTTTATATAAATTTTCACAGCAATTTTCAATAAAATTTGGTGTCTTTCAGGTATTGTAGAGCCATGTAAACATTTACAAATTTTTTAATTAATTACAGTAATTTGTTCAGAGAAACTACCTTTTAAATATAAATTACAGTTATTAATGGGTTAAAATATCGTTTACTTCGTAGGGGTGGCTGAGTTACACTCCCATTCAACAACTGTATTATTATTATACATGCCACTCAAAGATCTTGCCTAATTACGTGTTATTCATATATATGACCAGTAATTTAATCCCACTCTTTTTATTTGGTACTAGTCTATCAAGACTGCTTTATATAAAAAAAATTGCCATTTCCCGAGACTTATAAATAATGACGAAGTGATTAAAATTTATTTGGAAACAGTTAGACCCTACTAAATTTGTTTAATCACGGATCATTTTAAACAATTCATTTATTTATTAAATTACAATACAATATTTCATGATATTTCCTTATCCTAATATACTTAATCAGTATAATTATAATATATACGTTAATAATGAAATAAAAGTATCTTTTTTTATTACAACATAAACAAATAGCTTAACTGTTAACAATATGTAGCACTAAATAAAAGAAGCAGTTACAAAATCATTGTTACAGAAAGAAGGAGGTATATATTAATCAAAAAAAAAGAGGTTAATAGGATGACGGAAGGAAGGAATATTACATGGTAACTATCAAATCGTCTAGTACATAACTATAGAATGTCTTCGGACAATTATAAAGTCTGAATTTAAGATTAAATTTCTTATTTTTCTCATAGGTTTCAAAATCTTAATATTTCATAAACGCTGCATATAACTTACTTAATTATGACTTAATATTTGTTTAAATCATAATTTACCATAATCTCAACAATACCAATTAGCAAGCATTTCCGTATTTATAATTTCATTAAATAATTTGGAACATTTGTCATCGTCCGTTTCTACCGCTCCAGCCATTAAAGAATGTGGTTTAATAATGAATGGTGAATTAAAGGTTGATGCGATTAATTCGAAATTTTTTGAATTAAGCAAAATACCATCATTTCCAATTTTATCCATTAACTTTCTTTCATTGTATAACTGGAACCAACCCATTTTTTGCTCGTTCGACATCTTGTATTTCCATTCAGCAGCTGCTAATTTAACAGCTTTTGAACGCCTAATTTTTTCTTTTTTACGCCGCATAACATAATAATGCCCTGAAAAGAGGATAAAGGCATTTTGTTTCCTAAAAGACACATTTCTAATGGACTTGGGCTTATTCGACTTTTTACGCGGCATTTTAAACAGAAAGACAATTACTTTTAATTTTTGTTATTTTTTTTTTTTTTTTAAAAAAAAAAATATCCTAAAGAAAATTATAGATAATTTGAAAATTACAAAGGCTAATAATACTAAAATTAGTAGAAATTATCTTACTTCTTTTAAAAAATCCGTCGCAATATCTTGTGAATTTGCAAGCACTTTAAGCGACATTTTCCACTTTTATAATTTTTTTTTTTAAGTGAAATATCATGTGAAATTTAATTATATACTTTCAAAAGAACAGAGAGCGAAACTAAATAATTCTTTCATCCGAAACACATTGAGAAATGAAGGATCCTTTCTTCTTCTTTGAGACGCATCGAGAATTTTTTTATTATTTTCCTTTAATATACTTTTGTTATTTTTATTGAAACACATTTATTACCATAAATTCTTTCAGAAAAACTCCAGAAGTCCGATTAGATTATTTGTATGCATGTTTATATATGAAATGGTTGGACTTATTTGTCTTTTTGAGGCGGAATTTTAATTACTCTATTTTCTTTGTGATTAAAAAAAACCTTTATGAAATTTTTTTCTATTTATATATTTTTTTAAAAAAAAGTGAAATATAAAGTGAAATTTAATTATATTTAAAAAGAACAGAGAAAAGATTGGTTCTTTCATCTTATGCACGTTTACACATGAAATGATTTCATATTATTAAATAACATCATTTGCCGACGTACGTAAATGATAAACAAGATAAGATAATAAGGAAACGCTGGAATTATATCTCCTTTAAGTAATGTATGTAAGAATTTTTTTTTACAAGTGAAATATTTTCATTCATTTAATTAACAAATATTTCTTATTTTACTCTATTATTATTTATTTACTATTCAGTTTGTACTTTTATATTTATTTATTTATTTATTATTATTATTATTTGGTTTGCGATGTGACTCTGTAATTGAAAAGTTTGCCATCGTATATATATAAGAAGATTAGATCGAAAAAAAAAATAATCTGTGGCTGGTGTTCGGGTAAAGTGTGGCTAGGGAACTGCATAAGGAAAATTTCAATACAAGAAGCTCCAGCGCAGTTCATTTTCATGCAAACGATCTTTTATTTCCTATTTTAGATGCATGCATGATCACCATTATTTCTTTGTCAATTGATCGTGTCACCCTGATTTACATAACAATGAAGTTTTTTTTGAATTTGAATCAAATAAATATTTCTTTATATAAACATTAAAATTACATGAAAAACCCTTTTTGTCTCATGAAAAAATGTAAACCGTGCCCATGTATCACCATTACATTAAGTCCGATTCGAAAATATTTTTAATTTTTTCTAAATTTACTAATTATACAAAAAATAACAATCGTATACGGTATAGTTTTCTAGGCACTGAACTGAATGTATTGTTAAAATTAAACTTCATTTTATCAAACTTAATGATATTGTTATACAAAAATATAAAAATATAAAAACGTATAACAATTATGTATAGTATATTTTTTAAATACGGAATATATCGTAAATGCGGACAAAGACTATCATGATATCATTCATTCAAATAAGTTAATTCTAATTTTATTTCATTGTCTTCGATTACTTTGATAAATAATCTAGTAACCAATTGCATTCATTCAAATTTTCCAAGAGTTCTCTGACGGAGCCATGTGGTTTTGTTTTCCATAAATAATCATTATAATAATAAAACTTCACAAAAACTGAGTCATGAAATGAGTCATTTGATTTGAATTGTAAATGAAGTATTATAATTGGATAATTTGACATTAAAAGAATAATTTACTTTTTAAGGTTATGAAGGAGCTACAGAAAGTGTTTTGTACTATTCGTGACTAATTAAAAAAATTTCTTTTAAAAAAATGAAATATTATTAGTAATTAATAAATACTGTATAACATTTATTTTTAAATTTTACGCAGAAATTTTTTATCGTCCCAATTAAATCGCCATATATTTGGCATATATATTTCATAACGTATTTATAGTAATTAATATTTTATCATTATTAAGCAATTAATTTAAAATTAACTACTATTCAACATGGAAATAGAATCATTTAATAAATCGGTTATTATTTACCCGCGTGAAAGAAACTTGTTAATCAAGTGTTCTTTCATTATTAAACACTGATACCATCTTTTCTTTATTTAAAAATTTTGCTTACGTATTGTGAAACGCAGTAACTTTTATTTTTAGGTGTTCTTTCATCTCTCGGCGAATTTTCTCCAAATTTTTATGAAAAAAATGTATAAAGTAGAAGCGTCAGAGCTCAATTCTCAAAACTCAATTACATCGTTTTTATTTTTATCTCGTAAAAAATATGAGCAACAATAGTTTCACACTTTTCTATTATAAATTTTACAAAAAAATTCTGGACGCAGAATTTCCTAATCTCTCATCAAGAGAGAAAGTGGCCATGGCCGCAAGGCTATGGTCTTATATACCAGATGGGTTAAAAAACTCATTTATTTGTTTTTTTGAAAAAGAAATGTTTTTAAAGAGTAATATTGAAATTGCAAACACGTACCTTTCGAATAACGACATTAGTAACTTTCCTTTTATTTTCGATAAGCATTGTTATCGAATTCGAGTTAAGAATAATATTGATGTTGATAAAATGGATAAAATGTTCGATAAAATGTTCCGAGAATATATACATGAGGACGCATATGAGCATTAAAATGCCCATTACTACACGTGATTATGGTTTAAAGCTCTAGTAAGTTTTATGGTTTCAATTATCTAGGAATTTATTTTCTTTACTAACTAATCTTTTTTTTCCTTTTTTTTAGGCTTTACTTTTGGACGGGTTTCACTTTTTTATTTTTGTTTGAAAATTTATTATACTTGGCTTTGTGTTATTTTTTTTTTTTATATTGGGCTTTGTAGCTTCTTTTCTTGTTTTCATTCACTTGGGCCTTTTCGTTTCGTTTGGAATTTTTACAGTTTTGTTTATTATACGTTTATTAAATTTGTAAATTTCGTTTTCATTGTACTTTATTTATACTTGGACTAGATTTTTTCGATTTCATTTTTTTTATACTTGGAATTTATGTCCTCATCTGATTTCGTTTTAGTTTTTTGAATTTCATTTTATCGTATTTTTGGATTTTATATTTTGGATGGAATTTTCAATTTTCTTATGCTTTTGCTTTATGACTTTTGCACTTAATTCTTTTGGTCTCATTTCATTATATTCGAAGATCTTTTTTTGATTTCGTTTTATTTATTGTACTCGGATTTCATGATATCGTATTTTGTATTTGGCATTTTGATTTTATTTTTTTGATTTATTTCTAGACTTTGCGATTTTTGATTTTAATTTATTTCTTTTGATACTTGATGATCATTGTATTCCATTCATTCCATCCCCTAAATAAAATTTTATGATTACTATAAAAAGTTAGATTTATTTGCATTTTACTTAGTTAATTCATTTTCATTTTTATTTTTATAAAAAAAGTAATTATTTTAAATTTTAAAACAAATCGAAAAACTTATCCAATCAAAAATCCGTGATCGCGCCAATGTTACGTAGCGGATAAAATTTTTCTCTAAAATATACAATCATTCGAAAGTTTTCTGTTTATACCATTATTTTCCGTGAATTGCTGCTTGATCGGCATGATTTTTAAACCAAACTATTTTAACGTTTTAAGGTTAATAAATGTTACACACGCATCTTATTTGGCGAAGTAAAAAAAAAGGGCGTAATAACTGATAACTGTTGCATACCCGAATACAAGAGAGTGGCGTAAATACCGGCGACACTTATGGAAAGCCGCCATGGTCAAAAGTGCGTAGCAAAACATAGCGTGTATACGCTATGTTTTGTAGCGCGTATACGTTATATGTCACGGCGGGTTACCCCTGTTCTGTCTGTTTCAGGGGTAACCTGTTGCAAAAAATAGCGTTTAATACGCTATATTTCATAGCGTTATATACGTTATATGTTATGACGGGTACCCGTTATAAGAAACGGCGGGTACCTGTTATAAGGAACGGCGGGTACCCGCTATAAGAAACGGCGGGTACCCGTTATAAGAAACGGCAGGTATCCGCTATAAGAAACGGCGGGTACCTGTTATAAGAAACGGCTGGTACCCGTTATAAGAACTGGCAGTTAGCATATTAACTTTTGATAAACATCAATAATGATAATTATTTATTTAATGAAATTTTATTTGACAAATATTAAAATTTAAGTCACACATTTACGATTTTAAAGAAAAAAATCACCATATTTATTTTTATTGAAGTGTACAAATAAAATTAACAATAACAATAAATAAAAAAGATAAGTAAATTACAATGATCAAGGAGAAAGATGCTAATAAAAAAATGAAATAACAGTGGAGTAATGG